TTGTTTTTTTGGAGGGGGGACAACGAACGACTCTCCTCTTGTTGTTAGCCACTTTATGTTGCTTTCTTGTTCGTTGTTTGTTGATGGCTGTTGCTGCCTAGTGGTCGGTTGGTGAGTCGTTCGGTCGTTGTGTTATGTTGTGCCGGAGTTTGATGTTTGGTCTCTACGGAACAATGATGCAGCTTTTTTCTTTTTGCCATTGATTGGCATGGATTTTTTGTTTATTTGTTTGGGTTTCTTTTAAAGTTTTCCCTCCTTTGGGGCAAGTTTGTATCGGAAAATAATGAACGCCGAAGAAATGTGGCTAGTGGCTGCATAGTACACTTAGTTCAATTTGATCACACAGAGGGACAGTGGTTACAATAAAAAAAGACTAATCACGTGTTCGGAAAACATCGACAGTCATGCACTTTTTTTAAAAAATATTTTTTGGGAGGATTAACCAACGTAGATTTTTTAAAAAATATTTTTTGGGAGGATCAACCAACGTGGATTTTTTAAAAAATATTTTTTGGGAGGATCAACCAACGTAGATTTTTTAAAAAATATTTTTTGGGAGGATCAACCAACGTGGATTTTTTAAAAAATACTTTTTGGGAGGATCAATTAACGTGGATTTTTTAAAAAATATTTTTGGGAGGATCAACCGACGTGGATTTTTCAAAAAATATTTTTGGGAGGATCAACCGACGTGGATTTTTCAAAAAATATTTTTGGGAGGATCAACTAATTTTTTTTAAAAAAATTTTTTTTTGATATGTTCAACAAACGTTGATTTTTAAAAAAGGAAAAATTTTTTGATATGTCCAACAAACGTTGATTTTTAAAAAAGAAATATTTTTTGATATGTTCAACAAACGTTGATTTTTAAAAAAGAAATATTTTTTGTTATGTTCAAAAAAGAACGCTTGTAGGTTCTCACGAAATTTTTTAAAAAAGAATATTTTTTGATATGTTCAACAAACGTTGATTTAAAAAAAAAAAATATTTTTTGATATGTTCAACAAACGTTGATTTTTTAAAAAAAATATTTTTTGGAGAGGCCAACAAAGGTGGATTTTTTAAAAAAATATTTTTTAGGAGAACCCACAAACATGGATTTTTTTAAAAAATATTTTTTGTGAGAACCTACATGCGTGGATTTTTCTTAAAATATTTTTTGAGAGAACCAACAGACGTGGTTTTTTTAAAAAATATATTTTTTGAGATAACCAACAAACGTGTAATTTTTAAAAAATATTTTTTGAAGATGCTAACAAACGTGGATTTTTTTAAAAAAATTATTTTTTGGGAGAACCACAAACATGGATTTTTTTAAAAATATTTTTCGTGAGAACCTACAAGCGTGGATTTTTCTTAAAATATTTTTTGAGAGAACCAACGGACGTGGATTTTTTATCAAAATATTTTTTGAGGAAACCAACAAAAATATTTTGTAAAAAATATTTTTTTTTTTTTTTTGATAGAACCAGCAAACGTGTCTTTTTAAGAATATTTTGTTAGGGAACCAACATACGTGGCTTTTTTAAATATATATTTTGAAAGTAGCAGCAAGCGTGGATTTTTTAAATAAAATATTTTTTTAAAGTAGCAGCAAACGTGGATTTTTTAAAAAAATATTTTTTGAAATTAGCAGCAAACGTGGATTCTTTAAAAAAATATTTTTTGAAATTAGCGCAAACGTGGATTCTTTAAAAAAATATTTTTTGAAAGTAGCAGAAAACGTGGATTTAAAAAAAAAAAAAAATATTTTTTGAGAGTAGCAGCAAACGTGGATTTTTTAAAAAATATTCTTTTGAGAGTAGCAGCAAACGTGGATTTTTTAAAAAATATTCTTTTGAGAGTAGCAGCAAACGTGGATTTTTTAAAAAATATTCTTTTGAGAGTAGCAGCAAACGTGAATTTTTTAAAAAGAACCATCAAAAAATTATAAAAAATAGTTTTTTTTTTTAAATCCACGTCTATTAAAATTGTGCATTTTTGTTGAAAATATTTCTTGTCCACTGTTCCCTTTCATTTAATCAATGCCTGACTTTCTTTGGAAGAAAAAAAAACTACCAACCAGCTCCATATGTTCTCCTTGGAGTTAATATTTCTTTTTTTCCTAACATCGATCTGTAGTCATTGATTTGTTGCTAATTCTGCTCTAAACGGAAAAAATACAACGCTTCAAAAGAAGAAAGGCAATAAAGCAAGGAACAGATATCGTCTTAACCAGGTGTTGCAAATTCCAACAAGATTTATGAACTACCCAGGGGTGATGCAGAGAGGGACATATAGTAGGGGGTCTGCTATGGTATGGGAAATGCCCATGATAGCCATAAATATTTTGCCTTCTCTTTTTGATAGCTACACACATCATTCATGGTCTATTGAAATTTTTGGGTTCCATGTCTGTCTTTAGGAATATTTCATTCCAAATTTCATGCCTACTTCCCTCAAGTACATCAACTTTAGTTTTTTCTTTTTTTTTTTGAAAAACTTGAAGACAAGAGTCTCATGACTGATTCTCCCCCTTCATTTTTTGTGGAGAGGGTTCTCTTTTTGTTCTCCTTCTTCCTTATGTTAAATCTTTTGGCTTATTACGAATTGTTAAAGATTATTTTGTTGCAAGTACACTTGAAGTTCATGTTTCTTTGTTTTAATTATTTTCAAGCAAAACTCCCCCCATCTCCTCCCCCTCTTTCCCGCTCATTTAATTTGGAAATTTTAAGAGGCTTAATAAGTTTGCTGCTGTTTGTTTAAAGTTTCATTTCAGCTTGATGTTCTTTTTCAGTTTTTTTGTTTGCATGCTTTTTTGCTGCTTGGCCAGCAGGTTATTGTCCCCTCCTCCATTGTTTCATTGCTGGCTGGATGATGATTGTTCTTCTCATGCCTGTTTGGCATTCATGAATTAATTGAAAATATTTATAACTTGAAAAAGGTCTTTTTGACTCAGCACCACCGGGATGGGATGACGACCACGAAGTTTGCTAGTCAGTCAGCCAGTCTTTGTTCCGGCATAATTATTGTAAATATACTTGGTCGCTCGCTCTCCCTTTTTGTCTTGGCCAATTTTTATGAATAGAATTTATTTTTAACGTCAAAGTCTTCTCTCCATAACCATCCTCCTGTCTTGCATTGTGTTCATGATCAAGGTCAGTTTGTAATTAAATTTACACCATTTGTCTGTCTGTCGGGTAACCAAAGAAGGATGGGGGGGGAACCGCCAGCCACCTCAGCATAATTTAAACAAGAATTATGACTATGATAAGCATCTTTATAAATATGTAATTGGCCTTTAGTTAGTGGATAAATAAAAATTGAATAAATTTAATAAAGGATGTGAATGTGCATGAGAAAAAACAAAAGGGGAAATTGGAATGAAAAAAGTTCTGAAAAAAATATTTTTTAAGAAATTCCCAGTTTGACAGTCACTTCAAAAATATTTTTTAAAAAATCCAAATTTAATAGTCTCTTCAAAAAATATCTTTTAAAAAATCCACGTTTAATAGTCTATTCAAAAAATATATTTCAAAAAAAAAAACCGCATTTAATAGTCTCTTTACAAAATATTTTTTAAAAAAAATCCACGTTTAATAGTCCCTTCAAAAAATATTTTTTAAAAAAAATCACGTTTAATAGTCTCTTCAAAAAATATTTTTCAAAAAATCCGCATATAATAGTCTCTTTAAAAAATATTTTTTAAAAAATCCACGTTTCATAGTCTCTTCAAAAAATATTTTTTAAAAAATTCACGTTAACTAAACTTCTGAAAAAATATTTTTTAAAAAATCCACGTTGACTAAACTTCTGAAAAAATATTTTTTAAAAAATCCACGTTGACTAAACTTCTGAAAAAATATTTTTTAAAAAATCCACGTTGACTAAACTTCTGAAAAAATATTTTTTAAAAAATCCACGTTTCATAGTCTCTTCAAAAAATATTTTTTAAAAAATCCACGTTTCATAGTCTCTTCAAAAAATATTTTTTAAAAAATCCACGTTTCATAGTCTCTTCAAAAAATATTTTTTAAAAAATCCACGTTTCATAGTCTCTTTAAAAAATATTTTTTAAAAAATCCACGTTTCATAGTCTCTTCAAAAAATATTTTTTAAAAAATCCACGTTTCATAGTCTCTTCAAAAAATATTTTTTAAAAAAATCCACGTTTGATAGTCTCTTCAAAAAATATTTTTTAAAAAAAAATACTCGTTTGGTGGTTCCTTGAAAAAATATTATTAAAAAAATCCACGTTTGATAGTCTATTTAAAAAATATTTTTTACAAAAACCGCGTTTGACATACTCTTGAAAAAATATTTTTTTTTAAATCCTCATGGACTAAACTTTTGAAAACATATTTTTAAAAAAATCCACGCTTAATAGTTTCTTGGAAAAATATTTTTTTTTTAAATCCTCATGGACTGAACTTTTGAAAAAATATTTTTTAAAAAAATCCACGCTTAATAGTCTCTTGAAAAAATATTTTTTTTTAAATCCTCATGGACTAAACTTTTGAAAAAATATTTTTTAAAAAAATCACGTTTAATAGTATCTTAAAAAATAATTTTTTAAAAAATCCTCATGGATTAAACTTTTAAAAAAATATTTTTTTAAAAATCCACGTTTGATAGTCTTTTCAAAAACAATTTTTTAAAAAATCCACGTTTGATAGTCTTTTCAAAAACAATTTTTTAAAAAATCCACGTTTGATAGTCTTTTCAAAAACAATTTTTTTAAAAATCCACGTTTGATAGTCTCTTCAAAAATATTTTTTTAAAAAATCCACGTTTGATAGCCTCTTCAAAAATAATTTTTTAAAAATCCACGTTTTATAGTCTTTTCAAAAATATTTTTTTAAAAATCCACGTTGAGTAAACATTTCAAAAAAAGTATTTTTTAAATATGAACATTTGTCTCCAGACTCTAGTCTTAATTTTTTTTTCTATAAAAAAAAACTTTTATTCGAAATTTTATGTTTAGATGTTGATATTAATTCCTTTCCCTTTTCCTTTTTCAGAAACCTGCACTGAAATCTTCAAATCAGGAGCAGCCTGTCCTTCCTACCAACAACCAAGGCGGTGGGGATACCAGTGAATCAGCGGAAAATGCACATCCAAGTGAAGAGAATAGCCTGAAATCTAAAACCAATTCCACAACTGTCGCCGAAAGTACGACAGTGGCCCAAGATATGGCCACCTCCTCGGCGGCAACAAATGGCTCATCATCGGCAAGCTCCTCCAGTACACCCAACAGCTCGACAGACAAAAAACAAAAGAAAACGGTCACCTTTAAAAATGTTCTCGAAACAAGTGATGACAAGAGTGCCGTCAAGAAATTCTATAACCCCGATAACCGTAAACCCCTTATCTCGATTATCAAGAAGGAATGTCTCAATCGGCCGCTTATGTACACCCGAAACAGTGAATGCATTGTAAAACCCTCACGACTAACGGAAATTTTGAAAAATAATTCAAACATTGATAAATTGAATTCATTGAAATTTCGTTCGAATTCGGTCTCATCAACGACATCATCATCGTCATCGGTTTTATCTGGACCTTTGTCAAGGGTATTTGGAGCCCCCTTGCCACCGGATGATGAGGAGGAGCAACAAAATCAAAATGTTATTAATTTTCGTCTCAGCAAACCGGCACGTAATAATAGAGACGAAGATGAGGAGGAGGAGGATGACGATGATGGAGAAGATGATGACGACGATGAGGAGGAAGAAGAACAGGGGGAAGGAGACGAGGAAATGGATGAAGATGAACCTGCCAAGGGAGAGGAAAAGGGTGGTGATAAAAACCATCATCAAGCGGTGACGGAAGCTACAGATGTGGGCCAACGTTTACAGTTGCCCAAGGAAAAAGAAGAGGCTAAACTCGGCGACAACTCAAATGTGATAAAAGGCAACGATGAGGAGCACCAGATTGTGTTGGACAAACATTTCGTTTTGCCCAAACGTAGCTGTCGTTCATCGCGTCTAATCAAACCCAATAAGCGTTTGGTTGAAGATTCAATATTGGGCAAGAAACCCACACTAAAATCAAATCTCAATTCCAGCTTGGCAAGCTCCTCAGCCACAGCAGCAGCTGTGGCACAGGTCAAAGAGGAAAAATCTCCGGGAATTACGCTGCAAACCAACTATTTTGGTTTGGGTGGTGACTACAAGAGCAAGGAATGCAATGGTCTGATGGGTAAGTTCATAATTTTTATTTGCTCTTCGACTTTCTAATCACTTAAATTTCTCCTCTTATTTTTAGGTTCCAAATCCTCCAAAGATGGCGATACCTTGAAACCTTCAGCCTTTGCCGCAGCCACTTCCAATGTTTTTTCCAATTTTGGCAACGTCAATAGCCTGCTAAGCTCCTCGACCTCCACGTCATTGTCGTCGTCATCATCATCGACATCCACAAAACCCAGTAGTTTTATTTTAAGACAACCCCGCCTTCAATTTGAATCCTTATCGGCAACGGCTGCCTCAACCCCAGCCAGTAGCACCACACCCAGTGCAGCAGCAGCGTCGGCAATAAGTACCAGTGATCGAAGCAATGTCAATGTTTCAGCTGCAGCAGCTTTAGCCCTATCAGCCTCCCTACCCAAATCTCTGCTACAGGCAATATCATCGTCATCATCTTCACCCAATAGCAGTGGTACGGCGAACTCCGGTTCTACGGCTTCATCACCTGCCTCGGCATTGTCATTACTATCGCCCACATTTTCCTTAAACCACAGTAGCAACAACAACAACGGTGGCAGTTCTTTGAAAAATAATACTAGTACAGGTAAGGATTTTTAGACAATTAAAAAAAAAATATTTTTATAAAAAATCCACGACTGATGGACTCCTGAAAAAATATTTTTTAAAAAATCCACGTCCGATGGACTCTTGAAAAACTATTTTTTTTTTTTTAAATCCACGTTTGATGGACTTTTGAAAAAATATTTTTTTTTTAAAATCCACGTCTGATGGACTCTTGAAAAAGTATTTTTTAAAAAAAATCCCTTTGATGAAAATATTAAATATTTTTTTAAAAAATCCACTTTTGATGGACTCTTGAAAAAATGTTTAAAAAAATCCACGTATGATGGACTATTTAAAAAATATTTTAAAAAAATCCACGTTTAATGGACTTTTGAAAAATATTTTTATAAAAAATCCATGTTTGATAGACTCTTGAAAAAAATATTTTTTAAAAAATCCAAGTTTGATGGACTGTTGAAAAATAAAATTTTTAAAAATCCACTTTTGATGGACTCTTGAAAAACTATTTTTTTTTAAAATCCACGTTTGATGGACTCTTGAAAAAATATTTAAAAAAAATCCACATTTAATGGACTTTTGAAAACATATTTAAAAAAAAACCTTGAAAAAATATTTTTTAAAAAATCCACGTTTGATGGAACCTTCAAAAAATATTTTTTAAAAAAATCCACGTCCGATGAATTCTTGAATTTTTTTTTTTTTTTTTTGAATAATCCGTTTGATGGACTCTTGAAAACATATTTTTTAAAAAATCCATGTTTGATAGACTCTTGAAAAAATATTTTTTAAAAATTCCAAGTTTGATGGACTCTTGAAAAATATTTTTTAAAAAATCCACGTTTGATGGACTCTTGAAAAATATATTTTAAAAAATCCAAGTTTGATGGACTCTTGAAAAAAATTTTTAAAAAAATTCACGTTTGATGGACTTTTGAAAAAATATTTTTTAAAAAATCCACTTTTGATGGACTCTTGAAAAAATATTTTTTAAAAAATCCACGTTTGATGGACTCTTAAAAAAATATTTTTTAAAAAATCTACGTTTGATGGACTCTTGAAAAAATATTTTTGAAAAAATATTTTTTAAAAAATCCACGTTTGATGGACTCTTGAAAAAATATTTTTTAAAAAATCCACGTTTGATGGACTTTTGAAAAAATATATATTTTTTTAAAAAATCCACGTTTGATGGACTCTTGAAAAAATATTTTTTAAAAAATCCACGTTTGATGGACTCTTGAAAAAATATTTTTTAAAAAATCCACGTTTGATGGACTCTTGAAAAAAAATATTTTTTATAAAATCCACATTTGATGGAATCTTAAAAAAATATTTTTTTAAAAATCCACGTTTGATGGAATCTTGAAAAAATATTTTTTTTAAAATCCACGTTTAATGGACTCTTGAAAAAATATTTTTAAAAAAATCCACGTTTGATGGACTCTTGAAAACATTTTTTTTTAAAATCCACGTTTATGGACTCTTGAAAAAATATTTTTTAAATATTCCACGTCTGATTGACTCTTGAAAAAATATTTTTTAAAAAAATCCACGTCTGATGGACTGTTGAAAAATAAAATTTTAAAAAATCCACTTTTGATGGACTTTTGAAAAAATATTTTTTAAAAAATCTAAGTCTGAGAGTCTCCTCAAAAAATATTTTTAAAAAAATCCGCGTTTGATGAACTTTTGAAAAAATATATTTTAAAAAATCCACGTTTGATGGAACCTTGAAATACTGTTATTTAAAAAATCGAAGTCTGAGAGTCTCTTCAAAAAAATATTTTTTAGAAATTCACGTTTGATGGACTCTTGAAAAAATATTAAAAAAAATCAACATTTAATGGACCATTGAAAAAATATTAAAAAAATCAACGTTTAATGGACTATTGAAAAAATATTTTTTTAAAAAATCCATGTTTGATGGACTCTTGAAAAAATATTTTTAAAAAATCCACGTTTGACGATTTTCTCAAAAAACAATTTTTAAAAAATCCACGTTTGATGATTTTTTCAAAAAACAATTTTTAAAAAATCCACGTTTCATGATTTTCTCAAAAAACAATTTTTAAAAAATCCACGTTTGATGATTTTTTCAAAAAATATTTTTTAAAAAAATCTACATTTGATTGTTTTCTTTTTTTTTTCAAAAAATATTTATTTAAAAAAAAAAAAACATTTTTATTTCTTTTTTTCTCTTTTTAGCTTCTTTATCCTCACTTTCGGCGGGAACTTCCACCTCAGCAACCAGTATCCTATGTGTGGTGTGTTCCTCACCCATACACACAAAAAATCTACCACAAGCCTCAAAATATGGTCAGCTAAGCTGTGAATATTGCCGTAAATTTATATCGAAAATTGCCAAGAAATCTCTTGCCATAAAAAATTCTGCAATTAATAAACCCATTATACCGCAGTGTAAAGTGGATGGTAAGTAAATTTGGAATTCAATTCAATTTCCAAATAATAATAAAAATCTTCCTCTCCATTCATCATCAGGAAATTGCCCTATAACGCCTTTGAACAAAGGCATTCACATAAAAAACTTCAAGAAACTCTACAAGGAACGCTGTGGTCTCTGCTGGCTCAAGAAATGCCTGCACACTCTACAATTGCCCAAAGTGAGGCTAAATGCTTTGTTACCTGTCCTTAATGCTGTTATTGGGGGAAACAACTCCGCCACCAGTGGCAGCATCAGCAATAACAACAATAGCAAAAACAATAATCTCATAGAAATGAAAATCCGCAAAGACATGGAGCTGTTGGAGACGGCGAAATTATCCATTAATTGGAAAGCGACACCAATACCCAAGGAAGTGAATACCTCCCCAAGTATTTCCACATCAACTCCTCCAGCCTTGAATGGTGGTAAATCCAGCATAAAATCAAATTCCATTGGTGCTGATGTTGGTGGTGTGACTTTTGGCAGCTTACCTCTGCTGAGACCGGCCATTTTGGAAAAACCCTCATTGATTAAACCCTCTTCTCTGATGGAAACAAAATTGGAACTTTCCGAGAAGTTGGATAAGAAACCCTTGGAAATATTGAAAGATGTTAAGCTAGAAATACCGCCTGCATCATCATCATCATTGGAAACAACGACACCTAGTACAAATAAACTAAAACCCAAGGAGAAGAAGGACCGCAAGGATGTTAAAATCAAAGAAATGCCCTCGCCCAAAATGGAGGAGAAGCTAAAGGATTCCAAGGAAATTATTGAAAAGTCAGAGGTCATGGAAGGCATAACAACTACCACTACTGCGGGAGCAACAGCCTCAATGGCCCTGGAAAATAGTTCCTTAACAGTGAATGGTTGCCCGGCATTGCTTGCGACCCCACCACCTAGTGGCACAAGCTCCAGTGGCGGCCCCAATGCCCCTGGTGGTGTGTCATCCGACAAACGCCAACGCATTGATTTAAAGGGTCCCCGGGTAAAACATGTCTGTCGCAGTGCCTCCATTGTATTGGGCCAACCCTTGGCCATGTTTGGTGAGGATGAGGAACAGCAGGAGCATCAAGAGGGTGTGATGACCGCAGAAGATAATATTCCCAGTTTACCCACTGAAAATGTTGTGGAAAAATCTCCCCTAACCGATGAAAATGATAATTGTGCCTCGTGTAAGACCCAGCAATTGGATAGCAGCAAACCCGAAGACATTAGAACAGAACAACCACCTCCCTTAAAGGTGGCCAAAATGGAGGTTAGCACGGCTGGCGGCCAAACTAGTACCATCAGCAACACAACAACCACCACCAGTGTGACCACGACAACAACAACATCTACGGCGGTGGCCACCACAAGATCCAGTGTTTTAACCACCTCGAAATTGTCGCAAAGACCCCATCACTACAACACCCATCTGACAACGGGCTATAAAAATAAATTCAGCTCTCAAATGGTGGCCACAAATTCCTCCTCCCTTGCGACAGCAGGGGCCCTTGCCAGTGCCAATGGCCAGCGACAGCGTAAGGACCCCCTGGCCGCCAGCAAATGTAAACTCCTGATATCCATTGATTTTTGGGAAAACTATGATCCGGCTGAGGTATGCCAAACTGGTTTTGGCCTTATCATCACCGAAACTGTGGCGCAGCGCGCTCTTTGTTTTCTCTGTGGTTCCGCCGGCCAGGATCCCTTGATATTTTGTGCCTGCTGCTGTGAACCCTATCATCAGTATTGTGTCCAGGATGAATTCAATCTTAAACATGGCTCCCTCGATGAAACATTGCTGCTAAATGAAAGTTGTCTCAGTATTACGGCCAGTGGTGCAGGTGCGGGTGGAACGAGTACCAATACAGCCATTGCCAAATTGAATTGGCTATGTCCACGTTGTACGGTCTGCTATACGTGCAACATGTCTTCCGGTGCCAAGGTGAAGTGTCAGAAATGTCAAAAGAATTATCATTCGACATGTTTGGGTACCAGCAAACGACTGTTGGGTGCCGATCGCCCTTTGATCTGTGTCAATTGTTTGAAATGTCGTTCCTGTTCCACCACCAAGGTAACCAAATTTGTGGGCAACCTTCCCATGTGTACCAGCTGTTTTCGTTTGCGCAAGCGTGGCAATTTTTGTCCGGTCTGCCAGAAATGCTATGATGATCAGGATTTCGATTTGAAAATGATGGAATGTGGCGACTGTCATCAATGGGTTCATGCCAAATGTGAGACGCTAACAGATGAGCAATACAATCTACTGAGTACCCTACCCGAATCCATAGAATTCATATGTAAACGTTGTTCTCGAAAGTCGCCAGAGGCTAAGCAAAGGGCCAATGAATGGCGGGAGGCGGTGCGCGAAGAATTCCAATCGAATTTGATGAGTGTCCTAAAGCTGTTGAGTAAGTCGAGGCAGGCCTGCTCCTTGCTGCGTTTAAGCCCCCGGAAACAAATGAAGTGTTCCTGTGGTGGTGGTGCCGCCAATAACAACAACAATGGCAGTAACTCCAAATATCAACCCAAATCCCTGCAGTTCAATCAAGACTCCCAAAATCCCCCCAGCAGCACAAATCTAAATATTGATGTCTATGAATTTGATGACCAGGAAAGGGACACAGAAGCCATGGCCCCACCCCTGCCCTTGGCTTTGGAAAAGAAATGTGTTTGTAATTCAAATTCCAGTAGCCATGCAAATGGTGGCTCCACCTCCTCCTCCTCGTCGTCATCCACATCGGCTGCCAATCAAAATCTGAGTCTGGTGGAAATCAAACAAAAAATCACCTCGGACAAATATCAATCCCTGGCTGAGTTCCATTACGACATGTCCATGGTAATACACCAGGCCAATTGTGATGAACTGGAAATTGTTTACAAGGAATTGTTGTCGGAACAATTTCCCTGGTTTCAAAATGAGACTCAGGCCTGTACGGATGCCCTGGAGGAGGATATGTATGAGACATCGGGAGGGGCCTATGGTATCAACACCTCCCTGGATACGGAAAATGATTATCAAATGGATTGTCTGCCCACGGCCGAGGAACAACATGAAGAGGCCCAAAGATCGGCTCTATTGGCTGAGTTGCCCCAGGATTTGGAAGATCAAATGTATGGCATCAAATCTCGGACAGATTCAAGAATATGTCTGTTTTGTCGCCGCAGTGGAGAGGGTTTGCCCCAGGAGGAGTCGAGGCTGTTATATTGTGGCCACGACTGTTGGGTCCACACCAACTGTGCCCTGTGGTCGGCCGAGGTATTTGAGGAAATCGATGGCTCTCTGCAAAATGTACATTCCGCTGTGGCCAGGGGCCGAATGATCAAGTGTTCGGTTTGTGGCAACAGAGGGGCCACTGTGGGCTGCAACATCAAGTCGTGTGGCGAACATTATCACTATCCCTGTGCCCGATCGAAAAATTGTGCATTCCTGGCCGATAAATCCATGTATTGTCCGGCCCATGCTCCCAATAGTTCACAGAGTGCAGAATTTGAGACACAGTTCGAGGTTCTGCGTCCCGTCTATGTGGAGTTGGAAAGAAAACGCAAAAAACTGGTGGAACCCTCTAAGGTCCAGTTTCACATTGGCTCTTTGGAGGTGAAACAATTGGGTCATATTTTGCCACGATTCTCCGATACCTATGAGGCTTTGGTCCCAGTGAACTTTTTGTGTTCCCGCCTTTATTGGTCCTCCAAGGAGCCATGGAAAATTGTGGAGTACACCGTAAGGACTTATATTCACAACTCCTCGAGTTCCAGTTTGAGCTCCTCTTGTTTGGATATGGGCAAGAATTTTACGGTTGACCATAGCCAAACAAATACCGCCCTCATCCATTTGGGTTTGACGCAGATACAACAATGGCATTCCAGTCTGAATAAGGCCACCGATTATGATAATGCCCTGGAGGATTATGAGTATTTGCAAGGTTTCAGTAACACCAGTCATCATTCTAACCATCCGGAGCAAACGAACACCGCCGCCGATGAGGAACCTCAAAACAATGCTGATCTTTTGCCCCCTGAAATTAAAGAAGCCATATTTGAAGATTTACCCGGTGACCTATTGGAGGGTATTTCCATGTTGGATATTTTTACGAAATGTATGAACTATGAAGACATGGTCCAGGGTGAACAAACTCCCCTCACCGATGAGGATACCATGACCTCCATTGGGGCATTTACCAAACAATTGACAGCGGAATTGAATAATGGTTGGCCAGTAGCGGCAGCGGCGGCGGGTGGAGCCAATAGTGCTACCAGCGATGATGCCCTATTTTCCAGTAGCCAAGCAGCGGCAGCCGTAAAGTTGCAGAAACTCAAGAAATCCTCCTCGCCCATCATCAATTGTGGCGATGTCAATGCCAAACATGCCATCAAGCGTAGGAAAATCTCGGAAAATATGCTCATCACCTTTAATCAACAGCATCAACAGAGGTCCCACAAATCGAAAGAGACAAATGTACGTCTGGAATCCTCCAATAAACGTAGTTTTACCTGGAGTGCAGAGAAACGTTACAATCTGGAGACATCTACCGCAAGTGGCGATTCCAAATTGAAAATCATGCAGGTTGATGGTGTGGATGATTCGGTAACGGAGTTTCGTTTTATACCCCAGGATAATACGGCCATCAAGTGTGAAAGGTGTCAGTGTACCTATCGCAATTTAGAGGGTTTCCAACGACATTTGGCGACATGTAGCACCGGGGGTGGGGAATCTGAAACCCCAGAGGGTCAAAACACAACAACAACGGGTATTACTCTGGAACAATTACAGGAATTAAATAATAAACTACAACAACAACAAAGAGCTGCCTCCCAGCTACCTTTCCTGCAAGCCATACCCACCACCAATCAAACGTTGCAGCAACAGCTTCAGGGTCTCCAAGCGGCGGCGGCGATACCCCAATTGCAATTGCAAAATGTACAACAACTGCAAAATCTACAACAATTACAACAACTACAGCAACTGACCCAGGCTGCGGCCACGGCTCAACCCCAATCCTTGGGTGGGAATTTCTTTATATCCACCACCGCCAATAACCAGCCAGAGGTGGTGAATAATCCCACAACGGCAGATTTACAGCTATATGCCAATGCTTTGCAGGGTCTGACAGCCAATTTGAATGGCACCACCTTTACACTACAACCCACGGCGGGCACAGCGAATCACACCTTTGCCCAAGCTCCTGCGGCTGCTCCCCAACCAACTGGCCAACTTTTGGCCCTCTCAACCAATGCCGATGGTAGCCAACAAATTATACAACTACCCGCCCACAATACCAGCACCCCTGCCACATATCAAACCCTGCAGGCCACCAATACCGATAAGAAGATCATTCTCCCGGTGGGTGGGGGAAAACCCATGAAAACCATGGCCACGAAGGCAGCCCAACAGGCGGCTGCTAAAAATAAGCTGAAGGCCACAACGGCCGTGAAACCTTTGCAGTCAAAGGTACAGCTGGGACAACAGACCACCACCACCTCGACCAACAATAACCCAAACACGCTGAACAACAACACCAACAATGCAGCGACGGCCGCCGCAGCAGCTCAGCTGCTAAATCAACAGATTCTACAACAGCTGCAGCAGCAGGCCCAGGTCCAAGCCCAGCAGAATGCCAACAACAATGCCACCACGCCGCAGATTGTCTTTCAGACAACCAGCGCCAATCCAGGGCAGCCGCAGATTATCATGCAACAGCCGCAGCAAAATATCATATCCTTTGTGACCACCAGTACCGATGGTGGTCAACAGCAGCCCCAGTTCCAGTATGTTACCCTGCCCACAACAAATAATCAGCAAATCTTTGCCACCACAAATGGACATCATCATCATGGCCATACGCATGCCCAGCCTCTAATGCAGTCGGCCTATTTACAGACCGATGCCAGTGGAAATTTAGTGCTGACCAGTGGACCGCCCACGGCAGCGCCCCAGGCTCCCACTCCCCTGCAATTGCTTACCGGTCCAGGGTCCCAAGTGATTGGTACGCTCATACAACCACAAACATTGCAGCTACAGGGCGGAAATGTTCTCACCGCTGAGGGGCTAACACAAAACGGTGGTGGAGCCACAACCCAAACTCAGCAACAGGTTATCATTAGCAATGGCACCACAGCGGGAGGTCCTGGCGGCGGAGGTACGGCAACGGGTCTCGAAATGTTGGCTCAGCCAACAGCCACTCCACAACTGGTACTCGCGGCCGCCACCACCAATAACCCACCCATGTATTATGGTCTGGAGACAATTGTCCAGAACACTGTGATGTCGTCACAGCAATTCGTCTCCACCGCCATGCCGGGGGTTTTAAGTCAAAATGCCAGCTTTTCGGCCACCACCACCCAGGTATTTCAGGCCAGTAAAATTGAGCCTTTGGTGGATATACCAGCAGGATATGTGCTGCTCAATAATGTGGATCCCAATCAGGCGGCGGCAGCTATTTTGCAAAGTCAACAGCCTCAGGCGGCAACCAATCAGGGGGTGAATCAACAGGCTGCGGCCAATCAGGCCAGTTTTATACAGGCTGCCCTGCAACAACAGGCGGCAGCCGCAGCTGCAGCCAATCTGGTAGAACAACAACAGCAGCAGCAGCAACAACAACACCAGCAAAATCTCTATCGCCAGGCGGCGGCAGCAGCGGCCTATCCTCAGATTGTGGTAACACCAAATCTCACCCAGCAGCAACAGCAGCAGTCACAACAGCCGCAGCAGGTGACCTTGAATGCCAGCACACTTCAGAATCCTGCACAGGCCACCACAACAACCTATGTGGATCCCAATACGGGCACCGTGTACAGTGCCAAGGTAACACCCATGGCTGCCCAGGTGAAACGGGGCAAGGCCTCGGCAGCTGCCACACCCATGGCGGCGGCCAATATTACGAAGGTCCAGCCGCAGCAGGTGGTTGTCAACAAGGTAATGCCAAATGTGGCCCAGCTTAGCAACATACAGACGTCGCAACAGCTCCAGCAACAACAGCAAGTTTCGGTGGCAACCCCACAACAACAACCGGCTCTGATTTTAAATGGCAATCAAAAACCCAAACAAGCGCCTGCCAATAAAATAAATCCGGTGGTACAACAACAACATCAAGGAAATGTCAACTCCCTGAAATCCCAACAAAACCAAGAAATTGCGGTTGGCAGTAACAACAACAACGCCAACAAAAAGACCAATATGATAAGGCCCCTCAATAAGGCCGAGGTTAAGCCAAAGGTTATGAAAACGGCCACAGCCACCATGGTGACCAAGGCCAACAACAACACAAATAGCCACAACAACACCAATGCAATTCTAAATCCCAACAACAAAATGATCATACTCAAACCCCAGCAGCAACAACAACAACAACAACATCAGCAACAATCACAAATTCAAATCGAGTCAAATCTCAGTCAATTGGAGGTCCGAACTAATATTACCCTGGAGCCGGCAACCATGACCCTGGTGGATAATAATAATCTTGGAAATAATCCTGCAATTTTGGGACACCATAATAATGCTGAACATGTCCTGAATTCGGAAATTCAAGGTCTTCAACAGACTACACAGCAACTTGTCCCACAGCAGCATCAGCAGCAACACTACAATGTGGCGGATAACTTGCTGATGGAGGAAAATCCTGGACAAACTACCCTCACACATTGTTCCTTTTCCAATAATCTGGCGAATTTTGAAACTCACAACTCCCAGCAACAACAACAACAACAACAATCCATACCAACAAATAATGAGACCAGCAACACAACCCATCAAATTCTACCCACCATCCAGAGGATGCCCCAATATACCAACATAAATATTGTCAATCCCTTGCAACAATATTCAGCCGCCACAACAACAACAGCTTCTAGCCTCTCCACACTAAGTAACTCCTCGACCACCACCACCACAGTTACCAGGCCCACAAATCGGGTATTACCCATGCAACAGAAAATCTCCAATAACAGCACCACCACCACCACTACAAACACCCTGAACAGCAACACCTCCTCCGCAATCAACAACAACAATTTTGAACAACATAATCCAGTGTTAGGTAATTCGGTAGCCGGTGGCTTTTGTACAACCTCAACCATAACCACCACGAGTAGTACAACAACCAGTAGCCTTAACTCTTCCACGCAGGATTTGAACTCCCATTCCAATCTCAGCATGGTGGAGGAATCAATGAAAAATCATGGCCTGAATAAAATTGCCTATGAGGCAGAGGTTAAACAGATGTTGCTGCACTCTCCCAATCCCCAGCAGGATTCGGCGATACAACAACAACAGCAAATGCAACAACAACATGTTATGTATTTACAGCAGGAGGCAGCGGCAACACCCATAACCCTAATGTCAGCCAAGGTTTCACCACCCACACCCAACAGCTTGGCCAGTTATGAGGAGTTAAACAACAAGGCTGAGGACAACTCCAAGCTCTGCTATGTTCCCCAGGTGCCATGCAACAATTACATGGAGGAGCAGCCGGCAAATAATATCTCCACGGCGGCAGAGGAATGTTTGGGGGTTGAACCAAAATTCCCGGCCGAGGGAGAAATTATTTTGTCATCCCAAAAAGAGAATGGACCTGAGGCCTTGGGCATAGCAGCCCAGAACCTCATGGATATGCCGGGACAACAACAGGCAGAAAATCCCTTAGCCGAAAATAATGACAACCACGATGCTGTGAATGCTGGGGAGGAGGAAGAGGACGATGACGAGGAGGATGATGATGGTTTTAGTTTGAAAATGCCCTCCACAAATTGTTCCGACAATCTCTCCATGGACAGCGATGAACCAGCCGTCAAAGAGAAGATCAGTAAAATTCTCGACAACCTAACCAATGAGGAGTGTGCGGAATCTTTGAATACCCCCAATACCACCACGCTAGAGGCCTCCACGGCTGGGGACTTGCATTCCCAGAACAATGAAGAACAAACGTATCTAACAAACTCCCAACAACAACTGCATACCTCTCCCGAACAACAACTTGCCACGGCGACAGATTTCTACAATTCCCGAACACCCGAAGAAACTTCAGCCCTGTTGGCCGATGTTGAATTGGCCGTGGAAAACATCAAGGAAAAGCTACAAGAACCCTCTAACCAATATCATCAGCTCAGCAATAACCATGCCACAGCAGCTGCTGTGGTAGAAGAACTCATCGAAAATCATGTTGCAGCTGGGCAACAAGGTCCCATGACCAGCAGCAGCATCATTCCACCACCCAGTCAACCACCACCCACAAGGCAACCCAAACGGGTGAGTGGACCTCATCTGCTCTATGAAATACAAAGTGAAGATGGTTTCACCTACAAATCCACCTCCATTGCTGAGGTATGGGAGAAGGTGTTTGAGGCGGTACAGGTTGCCCGCCGGGCCAATGGTTTGGCTCCGCTACCCGAAGGACCCCTGGCCGATATGAGTGGTGTGCAAATGATTGGCCTCAAAACCAATGCTTTGAAATATCTCATCGAACAGCTACCCGGAGTGGAGAAATGCAACAAATACACACCCAAATATCATAAGAGGAATCACAGTGGTTCCAGCAGCAGTAGTGTCAGTAACTATTCCACTCAATCCCATTTGAGTGGTAGTCTGTCGGCTCTGTGTTCCACCAGTTCCCTGAGCAATTCCTCCATGGGAGTTGGAGGCCCCAGCTGCCTGGATGTTGATGGCAATAGTTTGGATTACAATTCCGAGCAGGAGGAACTCAATGAAAATCCCTACGATTGTGCCCGATGTGAACCCTACTCGAAGCGTTCGGAATATGACATGTTTAGTTGGCTGGCCTCCAGGCATCGTAAACAACCGGTACAGGTGTTTGTACAACCATCGGATAATGAATTGGTGCCAAGGTAAGGATTTATTTTCCAATGGAAATATATTGGAATTGTTTTCAAATATTGTTGCATACTTTTAGGCGCGGCACTGGCAGCAACCTTCCCATGGCCATGAAATATCGCACACTGAAGGAAACCTACAAAGATTATGTGGGCGTTTTCCGCTCCCACATACATGGCAGGGGCCTGTACTGTACAAAAGACATTGAGGCTGGTAAGTAATTTAGATATAAGGACGAAGTTTTTTCCATAGAAAAAAATCGTACGGCCACAGGACAAAGTTTTTTCCATAGAAAAAAATTCGTACGGCCACAGGACGAAGTTTTTTCCATAGAAAAAAATTTGTACGGCCACAGGACGAAGTTTTTTCCATAGAAAAAAAATCGTACGGCCACAGGACGAAGTTTTTTCTATAGAAAAAAATTCGTACGGCCACAGGACGAAGTTTTTTCCATAGAAAAAAATTCGTACGGCCACAGGACGAAGTTTTTTCCATAGAAAAAAATTCGTACGGCCACAGGACGAAGTTTTTTCCATAGAAAAAAATTCGTCTGGCCACAGGACGAAGTTTTTTCCATAGAAAAAAATTCGTACGGCCAAAGGACGAAGTTTTTTCCATAGAAAAAAAATCGTACGGCCACAGGGCGAAGTTTTTTCCATAGAAAAAAAATCGTACGGCCAAAGGACGAAGTTTTTTCCATAGAAAAAAATTCGTACGGCCACAGGACGAGGTTTTTTCGTTAGAAAAAAAATCGTCCGGCCACTGGACGAGGTTTTTTCGTTAGAAAAAAATTCGTCCGGCCACTGGACGAGGTTTTTTCGTTAGAAAAAAATTCGTCCGGCCACTGGACGAGGTTTTTTCGTTAGAAAAAAATTCGTCCGGCCACTGGACGAGGTTTTTTCGTTAGAAAAAAATTCGTCCGGCCACTGGACGAGGTTTTTTTCGTTAGAAAAAAATTCGTCCGGCCACTGGACGAGGTTTTTTCGTTAGAAAAAAATTCGTCCGGCCACTGGACGAGGTTTTTTCGTTAGAAAAAAATTCGTCCGGCCACTGGACGAGGTTTTTTCGTTAGAAAAAAATTCGTCCGGCCACTGGACGAGGTTTTTTCGTTAGAAAAAAATTCGTCCGGCCACTGGACGAGGTTTTTTCGTTAGAAAAAAATTCGTCCGGCCACTGGACGAGGTTTTTTTCGTTAGAAAAAAATTCGTCCGGCCACTGGACGAGGTTTTTTCGTTAGAAAAAAATTCGTCCGGCCACTGGACGAGGTTTTTTCGTTAGAAAAAAATTCGTCCGGCCACTGGACGAGGTTTTTTCGTTAGAAAAAAATTCGTCCGGCCACTGGACGAGGTTTTTTCGTTAGAAAAAAATTCGTCCGGCCACTGGACGAGGTTTTTTCGTTAGAAAAAAATTCGTCCGGCCGCTGGACGAGGTTTTTTCGTTAGAAAAAAATTCGTCCGGCCGCTGGACGAGGTTTTTTCGTTAGAAAAAAAAATCGTCCGGCCCCTGGACGCGGTCCTTTTTAATGGGAAAAACTATTGCTAATTCTTGATTGTTTTTGTTTTTCTTTCCAGGTGAAATGGTCATTGAATATGCTGGTGAATTGATCCGTTCCACCCTAACCGATCAGCGTGAACGTTACTACAACAGCCGAGGCATTGGCTGTTATATGTTCAAGATCGATGACAATTTAGTTGTAGATGCCACCATGCGTGGCAATGCAGCCAGATTTATAAATCATTCATGTGAGGTAAGTCGGACAATTCATCTTCAGAATTTTCAAGTGTTTCAAGTCTTTTTTTTTCCCTTCCAGCCCAATTGCTATTCCAAAGTTGTAGATATCCTGGGCCACAAACACATAATTATCTTTGCTTTGCGACGCATTGTCCAGGGCGAGGAGTTAACCTATGATTACAAATTTCCCTTTGAGGATGAGAAAATTCCATGCTCCTGTGGTTCCAAGAAATGTAGAAAGTACTTAAACTAAAGAAAAAAGCCTAACGTGATTAAAAGTGATTTGAATGAAAACAAAAACAAGAAAACCTTTTTATTATTATCATATATAACGATTATGTATTATGTAATTGTGTGTAATTTATAAATCTATATATTTATATACTCATTAGTTTAATGTTGAATGCCGTAAACCATGCCATGCAGAGCAAAACAAAAAAAGCAAAAACCACAAAAAATGAGAATTTTAAAAATACCAGAAAAAAGGCAACGAAAATTTATTTCCTTTCAAAATGTTATAAACAAAAGAAAAATATAAAAGTTATATATATATGGAATCTACTATTTCCCCCCTCTCCCTACAGAAAAGAAAACTAACTTCACCCGATGGAGATTGTATGTAAAATTGTATTTTGTATTTAAACATATACCATTTCTAAGTGCGTGGTGGTATTGATAATGATATTAACTATTATTATTATTTTTGTATAAATGTTAAGTAACTTTAGAAATCTATGAGAAAAAGAAAATTGCAACAGTATTCCGAAAGAAAAAAACATAGTAGAAAATCTAAACTTTTTAATATTAAAAACTACTATTTAAAAAAAACATGTAATGTTAGTTTGAAAAACTAAAGCTAAACCTAGAAATGCTACAGAAAATCTAAAAACAAAAACATTTCACTTAAGCTTCTTTCCATTCATATAATTTTTTTGGTTTACAATTTTGTTGAGAAGAGAACAAGAAATTTAAAATGTGTAGCTTATAAAATTAATTAATGTGACGAAATGGGGGAGGCAAAGACAAATTTTGGAGATAAATAGGAGAATGAGAGCAATCAGGAAGATTTTGAGGAGATGTATTAAAATCATTTGGATTTTTTTTCTATCGCAAAAAACCTTCCTCCGTTCCTGAGGAAATTTTTTTCTATCGCAAAAAACCTTCCTCCGTTCCTGAGGAAATTTTTTTCTATCGCAAAAAACCTTCCTCCGTTCCTGAGGAAATTTTTTTCTAACGAAAAAACCTTCCTCCGTTCCTGAGGAAATTTTTTTCTAACGAAAAAACCTTCCTCCGTTCCTGAGGAAATTTTTTTCTAACGAAAAAACCTTCCTCCGTTCCTGAGGAAATTTTTTTCTAACGAAAAAACCTTCCTCCGTTCCTGAGGAAATTTTTTTCTAACGAAAAAACCTTCCTCCGTTCCTGAGGAAATTTTTTTCTAACGAAAAAACCTTCCTCCGTTCCTGAGGAAATTTTTTTCTAACGAAAAAACCTTCCTCCGTTCCTGAGGAAATTTTTTTGCTAAAGAAAAAACCTTCCTCCGTTCCTGAGGAAATTTTTTTGCTAACGAAAAAACCTTCCTCCGTTCCTGAGGAAATTTTTTCTAACGAAAAAACCTTCCTTCGTTCCTGAGGAAATTTTTTTCTATCGGAAAAAACCTTCCTCCGTTCCTGAGGAATTTTTTTTCTAACGAAAAAACCTTCCTTCGTTCCTGAGGAAATTTTTTTCTATCGGAAAAAACCTTCCTCCGTTCCTGAGGAAATTTTTTTCTAACAAATAAACCTTCCTCCGTTCCAGGGGAAATTTTTTTCTATCGGAAAAAACCTTCCTCCGTTCCTGAGGAAAATTTTTTTCAATTGCAAAAAACTTTCCTCCGTTCCTGAGGAAAATGTTTTTCTAACGAAAAAACCTTCCTCCGTTCCTGAGGAAATTTTTTTCTAACGAAAAAACTTTCCTCCGTTCCAGGGGAATTTTTTTTCTAACGAAAAAACCTTCCTCCGTTCCAGGGGAAATTTTTTTCTAACGAAAAACCTTCCTCCGTTCTAGGGGAAATTTTTTTCTATCGAAAAAACCTTCTCCTATAGGCACTATAAGACCTCTTAGGATTGTTTTGGAACTCTTCACTCTTCTCATCCTTTGACTTATCCCTGATTTTATTTGCAGCCCCTCATTTTGTCACACCCTGTCTATATACTTTATAAAAATGCAAACAATTTTAAAAATCTATACATATACATATATAAATATATATTTATTATAATGCATATATATATATATATATATATACATACGAAAAACAAAATGTGAGAAAAACCTACTAAATAACCAATTGTGTAATTGTTATTAAGTTTACAAACATCTCTACAAAAAAAAATAAATTAAAGAAAAAAATATAATAATTTAAAAAAAAGAAAATTGTATCCTTATTACTATATATATAAACTTATACATATGTATGTATAAAAAATGAAAAGATAATATTTTTAATTAAGTATTTTAGTTTTTTTTTTGTGTATGAAGACAATGATTATTAAAGCCGGATAGAAGATTATAAGCGTTTATTATAAATGTTAATGGTATTTTTAATTTTTAATGTTTTTTTTAATATTTTCTCTATCGAAAGTTTTGTGTTTTTTAAGGGTCTAACAATGTAAAGTGCAAATTTCAAATTGCTTTCACACTCTCGTAATCCGTTCAAATAATTGTTCTTATTATTTTATGATTATTATTATTAATATAAAACAAGAAAAAATATTATAAATATAAAAAATCTGTAAATCTTTTATTTTTGTAATTTTTAAGTAATTAGCAATTTTCATGTATTATTTGCTAATTTATTCCCAATTTTTATTTTAGTTCTGTGTAAGCTATTCTTTTGTAAAGTTAAATGAGAAACATTTTTACAGGGGTTTTTCAAAAAAAAAAAAAAAGAAAATTTGATTGTTTGCTTGTAAATATAAAAGAAAAAAAAAAAAGAAAAATGAAATTGAAAAAAGAAACATCAAAATATAATTATTTTTAATCTTTATATATAATTTTATTTTATAATTATTATTATTATTTTTTTTGTAATAATTTTCCCTTTAGCACATAGTCTACAAAACAAACAAACCGCAACTATAATAATTAAAAAAACAAAAACAAAACAAAAATACTAAACTAAATCTCTCTTTTTTGTTATAACATTTTAATGAATGAATGATAAATGATAATGATGACGATATATATACATAAAATCTAAAAAAAATATATATTATTACAATAACAAAAGTACACTAAAAATACAAAGCAAAACAAACTAACTAATATTATTCTTAAAATTAAAATTAACAAAAAAACTTAACAAACGTACACACACATCACATGTAACCGAAACTTTTCTTTTGGAAAAGGTCCAGGTTATGAAGCGCGGAGAAGAAGAGAAAGAAAACTACTTTCATAAAAATAAAATAAAAAGAAATCATAACTAAAAAATATATCTTTGCATTCGTGTGGTTTTATTTCATCATGGGGTGGGAGGTTCAGGCAAATTAAAAAAATAAAGGTAAAGCATTTTTTTTTTAAATAAAGGAAGGTTTTTTCGTTAGAAAAAAATTTCCTCAGGAACGGAGGAAGGTTTTTTCGTTAGAAAAAAATTCCTCAGAAACGGAGGAAGGTTATGAAGCGAGGAGAAGAAGAGAAAGAAAATTACTTTCATAAAAATAAAATAAAAAGAAATCATAACTAAAAAATATATCTTTGCATTCGTGTGGTTTTATTTCATCATGGGGTGGGAGGTTCAGGCAAATTAAAAAAATAAAGGTAAAGCATTTTTTTTTTAAATAAAGGAAGGTTTTTTCGTTAGAAAAAAATTTCCTCAGGAACGGAGGAAGGTTTTTTCGTTAGAAAAAAATTCCTCAGAAACGGAGGAAGGTTATGAAGCGAGGAGAAGAAGAGAAAGAAAATTACTTTCATAAAAATAAAATAAAAAGAAATCATAACTAAAAAAAATAATTCTTTGCATTCATGTGGTTTTATTTCATCAAAGGGTGGGAGGTTCAGGGAAATTAAAAAAATAAAGGTAAAGCATTTTTTTTTAAATAAAGGAAGGTTTTTTCGTTAGAAAAAAATTTCCTCAGGAACGGAGGAAGGTTTTTTCGTTAAAAAAAAATTCCTCAGGAACGGAGGAAGGTTTTTTCGTTAGAAAAAATTTCTTCAAGAACGGCGGAAGATTTTTTCGTTAGAAAAAAATTTCCTCAGGAACGGTGGAAGGTTTTTCCGTTAGAAAAAAATTTCCTCAGGAACGGATGAAGGAGGAAACTTTTTTCGTTAGAAAAAAATTTCCTCAGGAACGGAGGAAACTTTTTTCGTTAGAAAAAAATTTCCTCAGGAACGGAGGAAGGTTTTTTCGTTAGAAAAAAATTTCCTCAGGAACGGAGGAAGGTTTTTTCGTTAGAAAAAAATTTCCTCAGGAACGGAGGTAGGTTTTTTCGTTAGAAAAAATTTCCTCAGGAACGAGGAAGGTTTTTTCGTTAGAAAAAAAATTCCTCAGGAACGGAGGAAGGTTTTTTCGTTAGAAAAAAATTTCCTCAGGAACGGAGGAAGATTTTTTCGTTAAAAAAAAAATTTCCTCAGGAACGGATGAAGGTTTTTTCGTTAGAAAAAAATTTCCTCAGGAACGGAGGAAGGTTTTTTCGTTAGAAAAAAATTTCCTCAGGAACGGAGGAAGGTTTTTTCGTTAGAAAAAAATTTCCTCAGGAACGGAGGAAGGTTTTTTCGTTAGAAAAAAATTTCCTCAGGAACGGAGGAAGGTTTTTTCGTTAGAAAAAAATTTCCTCAGGAACGGAGGAAGGTTTTTTCGTTAGAAAAAAATTTCCTCAGGAACGGAGGAAGGTTTTTTCGTTAGAAAAAAATTTCCTCAGGAACGGAGGAAGGTTTTTTCGTTAGAAAAAAAATTCCTCAGGAACGGAGGAAGGTTTTTTCGTTAGAAAAAAATTTCCTCAGGAACGGAGGAAGGTTTTTTCGTTAGAAAAAAATTTCCTCAGGAACGGAGGAAGGTTTTTTCGTTAGAAAAAAATTCCTCAGAAACGGAGGAAGGTTATGAGGCGAGGAGAAGAAGAGAAAGAAAATTACTTTCATAAAAATAAAATAAAAAGAAATCATAACTAAAAAAAATAATTCTTTGCATTCTTGTGGTTTTATTTCATGAAAGGGTGGGAGGTTCAGGGAAATTAAAAAAATAAAGGTAAAGCATTTTTTTTAAATAAAGGAAGGTTTTTTCGTTAGAAAAAAATTTCCTCAGGAACGGTGGAAGGTTTTTCCGTTAGAAAAAAATTTCCTCAGGAACGGATGAAGGTTTTTTCGTTAGAAAAAAATTTCCTCAGGAACGGAGGAAGGTTTTTTCGTTAGAAAAAAATTTCCTCAGGAACGGAGGAAGGTTTTTTCGTTAGAAAAAAATTTCCTCAGGAACGGAGGAAGGTTTTTTTGTTAGAAAAAAAAAAAATTCCTCAGGAACAGAGGAAGGTTTTTTCGGTAGAAAAAAAGTTCCTCAGAAACGGGGGAAGATTTTTTCGTTAGACGAAAATTTCCTCAGGAACGGAGGAAAGTTGTTTCGTTAGAAGAAAATTTCCTCAGGAACGGAGGAGACTTCCGTTACTTCTCCATGGGCAACTCTATTCCTAAGTTTGAAGTTTTTAATTTTCTGCAGAATGGCAACCTTTTTAAATTATTTTTTTTTTCAATCTTCTTTTTTTCCTAAATCAGAAACATAAATATGAAAATAAATATTTTGATATCTGTCTATTTCGTATACATTCTCAATCTGCAGATTTCTCAGATTGATAGCTCGAACATGAGAAAGGTGAGTCCTTTCGCAGTTAAAAAAGGTTAAATTTTTCTCATCTCTTTCCTATTTCTCTCCAGAGAAATAAGCAACGCATAACAAGAAATCCTTATCCAGATTTTGTATTAGCTGCTCAGCGGCCACCCCTAATGTCGGAAAATCTTGATGCTGATGGTGAAAATTCCTCAGATGCCCAATGCAATGAGTCGGCCCTAAGCGGTGGTAATCCTCGTCAAAAATCCACCAACATTGCCCAGAAGGCAGCTCAGGAAGCAAAAGCGGCCACCGATGCCCAAGTGTCTGCCGGTCAAGCTGCTGCTCGACAAGTCAAAATGCAGTTGGCCGACAAGGCACTGCAAGCTGCCAGGGCTGCAGAGGCAGCTTTGGCTGGTAAACAACAAATTATGGAACAACTGCAGCAGGAGGTGCGAGAAGCCGAGGCGGTGGTTCAGGAAGAATCACTATCTCTACAAAACTCCCAACAGAATGTCCAAGCTGCAGTTAAGGCCGCAGAACAGGCCCAAGCTCAGTTGAGGACACTTAGTCAAGCTGTTGAAATAGCCAAGTCCAATATTGGGAATTCCGAACAAGCAGCCAATGGAGCTCAAACGGAATATGCCGAGAAACAACAGTTGCTGGAAGCAGCAAAAAGTCGTGTCGAACAATTGTTGCGCCAGTTGAGCAGTGCTCGAGCGGATTTCTCAAGTACCAAACAGGCAGCCTATAGAGCGGCCTGTGCGGCCCACGATGCCAAAGTGAATGCCCAACGTGATCGACGTCATCAATTACAAAGGCGTTCAAAGGAATATCGTTTCAAGCATCAGGCAGCTCGAGGGAACAATTAAGTTCTAAGTTCTCTTCCATGAATTATATCGTTTATTATATTTTATTTATTAAATACTTTCTCTACTCTCAAAATGCTATTTTTCCATGTAGCATTTTTTTCTAACGAAAAAACCCTCCTCCATTCCTGACGAAAAAACCTTCCTCCGTTCCTGAGGAAATTTTTTTCTAACGAAAAAAACTTTCCTCCGTTCCTGAGGAAATTTTTTTCTAGCGAAAAAACCTTCCTCCGTTCCTGAGGAAATTTTTTTCTAACGAAAAAAGTCTCCTCCGTTCCTGAGGAAATTTTTTTCTAACGAAAAAAGTCTCCTCCGTTCCTGAGGAAATTTTTTTCTAACGAAAAAAGTCTCCTCCGTTCCTGAGGAAATTTTTTTCTAACGAAAAAAGTCTCCTCCGTTCCTGAGGAAATTTTTTTCTAACGAAAAAAGTCTCCTCCGTTCCTGAGGAAATTTTTTTCTAACGAAAAAAGTCTCCTCCGTTCCTGAGGAAATTTTTTTCTAACGAAAAAAGTCTCCTCCGTTCCTGAGGAAATTTTTTTCTAACGAAAAAAGTCTCCTCCGTTCCTGAGGAAATTTTTTTCTAGCGAAAAAAGTCTCCGAAAAAAGTCTTCTTTCTATCGAAGAAGCCTTTCTCCGCTGCTAGGTAACCTTTTTTCTGACCATTTTTCCAATATAAGTTACAAATCCTTTGTTTTTATTTTTTCACTTACATCCGAACTGAGAAATTTATGCATAAATAAAAGAGATTATCAATACTTTAAGGTCCACGAACAATTCTGAAATCCTTTCCGAAATCCATTTCAATTCCTATTGTTGTTTTTCTCTTGCGATTTTTGCTGCAGCGGATTTTTCCGTTGGCTCTTCTCTCGACCTCTCTCCGCAGTGGTCGGTCGTCTTTTGACGATGTTGTGTTGGGGTTCAGAATCACTTTTTTCATGGGCTCCAATTGTCAGCGATGCTGAGGATTCGCTGAGCTCCACATTGGCATGAAGTCCGGCATCATTGGCATTCAGCTGGGCTTCCTGGGCCGAGTGGGTGGCCTTCTCGGCCGCCTCTTTCGTCTCTTCGTAGTCCAGGCGTGCCGAATAAAGATGTGATTCGATTTGTTCCAATTTAGCTTTGGCCTGGGCCACCATGTCAATTTGTGAGGCCAACTCGGCGGCAGCTTCGGAGGCAGATTTCTGTGCTAACTCCGAGGCTGCCTGGGCATTATTGAGGGCAGCAGTTAACACTGATACATGTTGCAAGGCCTGTTGGGCGGAGTATTGGGCTGCCTTGGCTGCACGCTTGGCTTGCTGCAGCTGCTGTAACTCACCCTGCATAACCTTGTGGGCCTCGGAACTTTGCTCCTCCAGACGCTGTAAGAGGACCTCTTTACCTTTCAGAACGGCCACAGCGGTCCCAGCTGCCTGTACCGCAGCCTGGGCCAAAGTACTCTTGGCAATATAGGCCGCCTGTTTGGCTGCAGCATTTTGAGAGACCACCGCAGAATTGGCCTGATCGGCAGATCCCTTGGCAATACTCCTCAATCCATTGTCCACCAGAAAGGAGCTTCCTGTCGAGACGGGGGTATGGGCATAATGGGGATCCACTTCGTAATGGGCGGAATCATAATGCGTCTGTCTGTGATGGGGGTTATGTGGAGGTGGTTGTTCGTTGGCATACTCCTCGTAACGGACCTCTTCGAATTGATAGGGTTCCGAAAGACCGGATGGACCGACAGGTTGTTGTGGTGGCAAGGGTGGTAGGCCAAAGGCTCCCTTTCTCTTGACCTTACGCGCCGAGGCTACGGATACTGGGTTCAAAATGGAATGGGAAATGAGAATCAGAAAAGGATTTTAGGACGTGAGTGTCCAGGACACTTACCCAACAGAGCAAACACGACAATGTACTTCAAATAGTCCATTTGGGAGAGATTCTATAAATATATTAAAAAATATATATTTTCCTTCGTCCTGCAGCTTGAATTTTTTTTCTATGGAAGAGGCAGACGAATTTTTTTCTAACGAAAAAACCTCGTCCTGTGGCCCGACGATTTTTTTCTAACGAAAAAACATCGTCCTGTGGCCAGACGAATTTTTTTCTAACGAAAAAACGTCGTCCTGTGGCCAGACGAATTTTTTTCTAACGAAAAAACGTCGTCCTGTGGCCAGACGAATTTTTTTCTAACGAAAAAACCTCGTCCTGTGGCCAGACGAATTTTTTTCTAACGAAAAAACCTCGTCCTGTGGCCAGACGAATTTTTTTCTAACGAAAAAACCTCGTCCTGTGGCCTGACGAATTTTTTTCTAACGAAAAAACCTCGTCCTGTGGCCAGACGAATTTTTTTCTAACGAAAAAACCTCGTCCTGTGGCCAGACGAATTTTTTTCTAACGAAAAAACCTCGTCCTGTGGCCAGACGAATTTTTTTCTAACGAAAAAACCTCGTCCTGTGGCCAGACGAATTTTTTTCTAACGAAAAAACCTCGTCCTGTGGCCAGACGAATTTTTTTCTAACGAAAAAACCTCGTCCTGTGGCCAGACGAATTTTTTTCTAACGAAAAAACCTCGTCCTGTGGCCAGACGAATTTTTTTCTAACGAAAAAACCTCGTCCTGTGGCCAGACGAATTTTTTTCTAACGAAAAAACCTCGTCCAGTGGCCAGACGAATTTTTTTCTAACGAAAAAACCTCGTCCTGTGGCCAGACGAATTTTTTCTAACGAAAAAACCTCGTCCTGTGGCCAGACGAATTTTTTTTTCTAACGAAAAAACCTCGTCCTGTGGCCAGACGAATTTATTTTTCAAACGAAAAAACCTCGTCCTGTGGACAGACGAATTTTTTTCTAACGTCCTGTGGCCAGACGAATTTTTTTCTAACGAAAAAACCTCGTCCTGTGGCCAGACGAATTTTTTTCTATGGAAAAAACCTCGTCCTGTGGCCAGACGAATTTATTTTTCAAACGAAAAAACCTCGTCCTGTGGACAGACGAATTTTTTTCTAACGTCCTGTGGCCAGACGAATTTTTTTCTAACGAAAAAACCTCGTCCTGTGGCCAGACGAATTTTTTTCTATGGAAAAAACCTCGTCCTGTGGCCAGACGAATTTTTTTCTAACGAAAAAACCTCGTCCTGTGGCCAGACGAATTTTTTTCTAACGAAAAAACCTCGTCCTGTGGCCAGACGAATTTTTTTCTAACGAAAAAACCTCGTCCTGTGGCCAGACGATTTTTTTTCCATGCAAAAAAACCTCGTCCTGTGGCCAGAAGAATTTTTTCCATGCGAAAAAACATCGTCCTGTGGCCAGACGAATTTTTTTCTAACGAAAAAACCTCGTCCTGTGGCCAGACGAATTTTTTTCTAACGAAAAAACCTCGTCCTGTGGCCAGAAGAATTTTTTCCATGCGAAAAAACATCGTCCTGTGGCCAGACGAATTTTTTTCTAACGAAAAAACCTCGTCCTGTGGCCAGACGATTTTTTTCTATGGAAAAAACTTAGTCCAGGTCCTGGACGAATTGTTTTTCTATGGAAAAACTTAGTCCAGTTCCTGGACGATTTTTTTTTTCTATGGAAAAAACTTAATCCAGGTCCTGGACGAATTTTTTTTCTATGGAAAAAACTTAGTCCAGGTCCTGGACGATTTTTTTTTCTATGGAAAAAACTTAGTCCAGGTCCTGGACGAATAGAAAAAACTTCCTCCTGTGGCTGTACGATTTTTTCCATAAAAAAACTTCGTCCTGTGGCCGTACGAATTTTTTTCCATGGAAAAAACTTTAGAATTTTAATCCTTTTGGAATTTGTGTTCTGCAGACGCCGATCCCGAATTAATTCTTTTTTCTAATTTTTAATTAATTTCCACACACCTTTGTTCGATTCGACACCTTCTTTGTCTGTTGAAAAAATAAACCGCTTCGAACTTGAACTACCGTTTAAGCACCGGACACGTCCTTTAGCTTTGAAATTCAATTCCGATTTGAATTGAATTTTCCAATTTCCATGGCAGGCCATAGCCATTGAAAATATATTTGCTTAAATGGTTAGGCCATCGCATCCAGATGTGTGTGGAAGAAAATTCAATGTCACTGTACACGATCCCCGCTCGACTCTCCCCATCCATTCCCCCTCTTCTCTCTCTCTCTCTCTAGCAAATCATTAGATGACTTTTGGTTGCAAAATATGAAAAACAATAAAATAAACAACAACGACAACAACGAAATGAAAACAAACGTTGCTTTTACTTTCCTTTGGGGAGGTTTTTCACGATTTTCACGTAACATCAATAATTGTCTACCGGAAAAACCACTTTCGGTGGCAATCCTCGCACCGTCATCTCGATCGTCATCATCACCATCCTCAGCATTGTCTCTGGGATCTCCATTAACCGGATGCAGAAAAAACAGCGACAGCAACAAAATTTATTGATGACAAAGCCAGTAGCTTTGGCCACAATCCTTCATCGATGGCTGGATGGCGGACAGAGTGGCTGGTTACATATTTTGCATTGCAACCGTTTTATTGCAACCACTGGCCAGTCAACAGCAAATGATACACTTTGTAATGATTTTTTTCATTTCGGACTGTCAGATTAAAGGTTATAATGTTGCTATTAAAATTTTAGACCAACCACAAGTTGTGGTGGGAACAGTGTTCCAAAATGGGAAATATCTTCCGAATAAGGAATTTTTTTTCCATAAAAAAAAACTCCTGCAAAAGGACTAAGTTTTTTCCGTGGAAATAAAAATCTATGAAAAAACATCGTCCTGCGGCCAGCCCTGGACTAAGTTTTTTCTATAGAAAAAATTCGTCCAGACCCTGGACTAAGTTTTTTCCATGGATAAAATTATTTGAACGAGTTTTTTTATTAGATTTCTAAAAACATTTTCTTCTATTTTGCAACACTGTACCTCTCACTCAAATCTCTCTCTAGCTAATGAATATTACACGCGTAAGCATTTATTTATTCATTGGTCTGTCGGTCGAACGATTAGTTCGGCTGGTGTTTTCATTTCTTTTTTCCCCATTTTTGTGTTAACATCTCTGTCCAAGTTCCATGGCCAATACGAGTTTTCAGCATTCAATGAATTTAGTTGGCATTTGAGATGAGGTGAGGTTCAGATGGCTGCAATTGGTTGGTGTTGGCTTCCTTTAATGACAGCGTCTTTCTATTTTGGTATCGACAAAAAAAAAATCATTTTCAAATAAATTGTGAAAAATGCTTCTCACATCAGATTTGCGGAATTTCCCAAAACTGGTTACACAATCTGCATGGAGAGGACTTTGTTGCAAGGACGAGGAATTAAAAAAAAATCTTAAAATTAAGCAAAGCAGATTTTTTACTTTTTACATTCGTTCCCACAATTCGTGTTTGGCCTTTTCAGTACTCAAAATGCACAATTTAGTTTAGTTTGACAAAAAAAAAAAAAAAAAAAAAAAAAAACTTGTATCAAAACTTAATCAAAAATTCAGATTTCAAGCACTATCTCTTCGCCTAATACCAAATTGTACCAAATATTGTACTGTTTGGTACTTTTCGTGCACTTGTAGTACAGATTTCCAAAACCACCCCTTTTTCACAAACAATCACAATATGTCAATCCAGATACCATCAGTAATTTAAACATCAATTTTCAGGATTTTATCCCCGTCCGTTCGCCCAATACAAAATTTGGTACTATTTAGTACTTTTCGTATAATGTGTACAATTGTACATATTTGCACAACCACCTCTATATCTCAGTTCCAGATACCAACAGAGAACTCAATATCCGATTTAAGTATTACAGCTCTATCCCTTCTCCCAATACCCAATTTTGTACCATTTAGTACCTTTCGTACCAATATAGAACACATATCAAAACCACCGCCAAATCTCAAACACTCATGCCATCATTAATCTGAATATCAAATTTCAGAATTGTATCTGCATTCCAATTCATTCGGATCACCCAAACCGAAATTATGCCCAATTTAGTACCATTTGAGTACATTTTGTGCACATAAGTACAAATTTCGAAAATCACCTCCATATCCCAATTTCACATTCCGCCAGTAATGCTAATTTTAAATTTCATGATTCCAGTTCCAAATTCAAATTGTACCAGATTTAGTACCGTATAGTACTTTTCGTATATATGAGTACACACTGCCAAAACTACCTCCTTACATCGACCCTACTACTTAACCTTGATTCCCATTCAATTTTCAAAATTCATGATTCCAGTTCCAAATACAAATTCCAGAAAATTCAAATTGTACCAAATTTAGTACCTTACAGTACTTTTCGTATACATGAGTAATATACTTTCAAAACTATCTCCTGACATCGATCCTACTCTTCAACATTGATTTCCATACCAAATTTCAAGTTTTTGCACTTGTAGTACAGATTTCCAAAACCACCCCTTTTTCACAAACAATCACAATATGTCAATCCAGATACCATCAGTAATTTAAACATCAATTTTCAGGATTTTATCCCCGTCCGTTCGCCCAATACAAAATTTGGTACTATTTAGTACTTTTCGTATAATGTGTACAATTGTACATATTTGCACAACCACCTCTATATCTCAGTTCCAGATACCAACAGAGAACTCAATATCCGATTTAAGTATTACAGCTCTATCCCTTCTCCCAATACCCAATTTTGTACCATTTAGTACCTTTCGTACCAATATAGAACACATATCAAAACCACCGCCAAATCTCAAACACTCATGCCATCATTAATCTGAATATCAAATTTCAGAATTGTATCTGCATTCCAATTCATTCGGATCACCCAAACCGAAATTATGCCCAATTTAGTACCATTTGAGTACATTTTGTGCACATAAGTACAAATTTCGAAAATCACCTCCATATCCCAATTTCACATTCCGCCAGTAATGCTAATTTTAAATTTCATGATTCCAGTTCCAAATTCAAATTGTACCAGATTTAGTACCGTATAGTACTTTTCGTATATATGAGTACACACTGCCAAAACTACCTCCTTACATCGACCCTACTACTTAACCTTGATTCCCATTCAATTTTCAAAATTCATGATTCCAGTTCCAAATACAAATTCCAGAAAATTCAAATTGTACCAAATTTAGTACCTTACAGTACTTTTCGTATACATGAGTAATATACTTTCAAAACTATCTCCTGACATCGATCCTACTCTTCAACATTGATTTCCATACCAAATTTCAAGTTTTTAGCTTTTCACACGATATCTAATGGATTGACAAACGTGGATTTTTAAAAAAAAAAATTTTTCAAAGAGATTTACAAACGTGGATTTTTTTAAAAATATTTTTTTAAGATATTAACAAACGTTGAATTTTAAAAAAAAATATTTTTTTAAGATATTAACAAACGTTGATTTTTAAAAAAATATTTTTTAAGATATTAACAAACGTGGACTTAAAAAAAAAAATAATTTTTGAAAATACTAACCAACGTGGACTTTTTAAAAAATACTTTTTAAAAATATAAACCAACGTGTATTTTTTAACAAAAAATTTAAAAAACTTTAACCAACGTGGATGTTTTTAAAAAATATTTTTGGAGAGATTAACAAGTGTGGATTTTTTAAAAAAATATTTTTTGAAGAGATTGACAAACGTGGATTTTTTAAAAAATATTTTTTAAAGAGATTAATCAACGTAGATTATTTAAAAAATATTTTTAAAGAGATTAATCAACTTGGATTTTTTAAAAAAGTATTTTTTGAAGAGCTAAATCAACGTGGATTTTTTAAAAAAATATTTTTTGATATTAACCAACGATAATTTTTTAAAAAAATATATTTTCAAAATTTAAATTAACTTTGATTTTAAAAAAAAATTTTTAAAGAGATTAACAAACGTGGATTTAAAAAAAAAAAATTTTTTGAAGAGATTGACAAACGTTGATTTTTAAAAAAATAGTTTTTCAAAATTTTAACCAACTTTGATTTTTTAAAAAATATTTTTTGAAGAGAATGACAAACGTGGATTTTTTTAAAAATATTTTTTAAAGAGATTGACAAACGGGGATTTTTTAAAAAATATTTTTTGAAGAGATTGACAAACGTGGATTTTTTAAAAAATATTTTTTGAAAAGATTGACAAACGTGGATTTTTTAAAAAATATTTTTTGAAAAGATTGACAAACGTGGATTTTTTAAAAAATATTTTTTGAAAATATTGACAAACGTGGATTTTTTAAAAAATATTTTTTAAAAATATTAACGAACGTGGATTTTTTTAAAAATATTTTTTGAAAATAGTAACCAACGTGGATTTTTTTAAAAATATTTTTTGAAAATAGTAACCAACGTGGATTTTTTTTAATATTTTTTGAAAATAGTAACCAACGTGGATTTTTTTTAATATTTTTTGAAAATAGTAACCAACGTGGATTTTTTTAAAAATATTTTTTGAAAATAGTAACCAACGTGGATTTTTTTAAAAATATTTTTTGAAGAGACCAACAAACGTGGACTTTTTAAAAAATATTTTTTGAAGAGACCAACAAACGTGGATTTTTTAAAAAATATTTTTTGAAGAGACCAACAAACTTGGATTTTTTAAAAAATATTTTTTGAAGAGACCAACAAACGTGGACTTTTTAAAAAATATTTTTTGAAGATATTAACAAACGTGGATTTTTTAAAAAATATTTTTTGAAGAGATTAACAAACGTGGATTTTTTAAAAAAATTTTTTTGAAGAAATCAAAAAACGTGGATTTTTTAAAAAATATTTTTTGAAGAAATCAAAAAACGTGGATTTTTTAAAAAATATTTTTTGAAGAAATCAAAAAACGTGGATTTTTTAAAAAATATTTTTTGAAGAAATCAAAAAACGTGGATTTTTTAAAAAATATTTTTTGAAGAAATCAAAAAACGTGGATTTTTTAAAAAATATTTTTTGAAGAAATCAAAAAACGTGGATTTTTTAAAAAATATTTTTTGAAGAAATCAAAAAACGTGGATTTTTTAAAAAATATTTTTTGAAGAAATCAAAAAACGTGGATTTTTTAAAAAATATTTTTTGAAGAAATCAAAAAACGTGGATTTTTTAAAAAATATTTTTTGAAGAAATCAAAAAACGTGGATTTTTTAAAAAATATTTTTTGAAGAAATCAAAAAACGTGGATTTTTTAAAAAATATTTTTTGAAGAAATCAAAAAACGTGGATTTTTTAAAAAATATTTTTTGAAGAGTTTAACAAACGTGGACTTTTAAAAAATATTTTTTGAAGAGTTTAACAAACGTGGACTTTTTAAAAATATTTTTTGAAAATAGTAACCAACGTGGATTTTTTTAAAAATATTTTTTGAAAATAGTAACCAACGTGGATTTTTTTAAAAATATTTTTTGAAAATAGTAACCAACGTGGATTTTTTTAAAAATATTTTATGAAAATAGTAACCAACGTTGATTTTTAAAAATAGTTTTTGAAAATAGTAACCAACGTGGATTTTTTTAATATTTTTTGAAAATAGTAACCAACGTGGATTTTTTTAAAAATATTTTTTGAAGAGACCAACAAACGTGGACTTTTTAAAAAATATTTTTTGAAGAGACCAACAAACGTGGATTTTTTAAAAAATATTTTTTGAAGAGACCAACAAACTTGGATTTTTTAAAAAATATTTTTTGAAGAAACCAACAAACGTGGACTTTTTAAAAAATATTTTTTGAAGAGACCAACAAACTTGGATTTTTTAAAAAAAATTTTTTGAAGAGACCAACAAACGTGGACTTTTTAAAAAATATGTTTTGAAGAGACCAACAATCGTGGACTTTTTAAAAAATATTTTTTGAAGAGATTAGCAAACTTGGATTTTTTAAAAAAATATTTTTTGAAGTGATTAGCAAACGTGGATTTTTTAAAAAAATATTTTTTTGGATAGATTAGTAAACGTGGAGTTTTTAAAAAAATATTTTTTGGAGAGATTAGCAAACGATGTCCATACCAAATTTCAAGTTTTTACCTCTAATCGTTCACATGATATCTAATGGTACCGTTTTAGAAGTTCAGTACCATTTTAGAACTTTTTGTAACCTTAACATTCGAATATCCAAAAATCCTGTGGAACATTTATCCTGAACTCCATCTGTGACTCTCATTCCAAATTTCAGAAATCTACCAATTTTTTAATTGTTGGTACATTTTACCATTTCGGGTACAATTTTAGTACGAATTTCCGAAAAAAAACCAGCCTTACCACACGCCTACGCACCATGGCTGGCCCGAGAGCAAAATGTCAAGATTCTAGCTTCAGTCAGTTCTCGAATATTTTTATATCCTCAGCCAGATCGAAATAACGGTTTGAGACCCCAGGTCTCTTTGGACCAAATCCGTTTCAGGACATTTGGAGTCGATCTGGGGGTGTCCGTCCGTCCGTCTGTTTCTCTGGCTGGTGCGCACGAGATCTCTCGAAGGGAGTATCCGATTTGGTCCAAAATTGGTACATCGTAATATTATTGTCAAACTTAGTTCGACTTCGCAGATTGGCGATATTGGTCCACTCCTTCCGGTACCTCCCCCACAAGGGGTTCAAAATTTTGTGAAGCAAAACGCTATTAACATATTTTCGTTTTTCAATATTATTTTATTAAAAAAAAAAAAAACATAATAAATAAGTTATAAAAAACAAGTAAGCAAAGGCTACAGTCGAGCGGGGCCGACCGTTGAATACCCTACAACACTATAATAAACCATACAGTTTATATAGGCGAGATACTCGAAAGAATTCCACAAGATATTGTGACAAATAATAAAAGAAAACCATCAGGTTCCGTTCTCTAATTTTCGAATAATAGCAACTTAAACTAATTTGCTCATTTCCAATTTATTGGTAGATGTTGCACTTAAATAGTCTTCCTAGATCTGGAACCAATATTTCCCAAAGACCTATAATCTCTCAGAAGTGGCAAAAGATTAACATTTATTATTGGTTTTTGACTGAAACGCATCTATATGAGATACAGACATTTGACTATATTCTTCAACGAAGTCAGCGTTAACGATAGTCAGAAGTGCGTCTTTCCTGTATTTGTGAATTCTCCAAAAAGTCACTGTATTTTGTCTATAAAAGTTGGCAAACTATTTCACACATTGAATATTTTTGGATGGCCATCCAAAACTGCTTGGCTTTTGTAATGTCCGGTAACCCCCATTCAAATGTGCTAGAGAATCGGGCGATAATTACGACCTGCAGACAATTTTGCAGTTTTTTGGTCCATTTTAACCCCTAAATATATGGCGATCATCTCCAAAAAGAGTAAGCTTCTATTCTGACCCTCATCTTATCTCCATGCAAAATTTCGTAAGGATCGAACCATAAATGCGATCTGTATATGATATCCTGATATCCTAACTACTTAGTTTTGTTAGCTGTAGAAATATTACCAAATGTTTAATTCAAAATGAAAATATGCCAAAAATATGACAAAATTGAAAAATTATGAGAAAATTTTACAAAATCCATATTTTCATCTTTAGAGAGATATTTTTATGCGATTTTTTTAGACGTTTTTTCTTTCCTGTCAAGAGGCCATTCGGAATTAATGAGAACTGTGGAAATCAGTTCAGCCGTTCTCGACATATAAGAGATTTTCCAAGCATATCTTCTTTGATAAACGTATATATCGCACATATTTTGCCATATATCCGTTTTGTTGGATGTTAACATCAATGTAAAGATCAGAAGTAACCTTGTCATGGCTTTGTGATTTCGCCGGGATTTAAAATATTCGCGGTTTAATGAAAAATTTTGAATTTTTTCAACACAAAAGATATGGTCTATTTTACCCGCTAAATATTATCCGATGACCACCCAAATTGGTAGGCCTCTTCCCCGCCCTAAACTCTACCTACATGCGAAATTCCGCGTCGATTGGTCTATAATTGCGACCTGTATAGCTACTGCAAAATCCGAAATTTTTTCAGTATTTGGTCCATTTCAACCCCTAAACATTTGACGATCATCTCCAAAAGAAATAGGGTTCTATTCTGACCCCAGACCCACCTCCATTCTAAATTTCGTGAAGATCGGGCCATAATTGCGACCTGTAGAGTGATTACAAATTAACATGGACAGACGGACAGACGGACAGACGGACAGACGGACAGACGGACGGACGGACATACATAGCTAGATCGACTCAGCTCGGCGAGCTAGGAAGATCCATATATACTTTCCTATGTGGGAAACCAATATTTCGAGGTGTTACATAATTTTTGGGCCAATCAAACTTATAATACCCCCAACACATAGTGTTGTAGGGTATAAATATACATCCACAAAATGTTAACACACGCACTTACATATTTTTACAGTATTTAAAAAAATATAATTAAACAAAAATAGGTTTTAATGAAACAAAAAAAAAAAAAAAAATACTATAAAATATTTAAACTACAAACGAAAAGAAAACGAAACTTAATTACATAGACATGATGAGCGGTAAATGCCATTGAAAATCGCTTATATCGAACAGTGTTTTGGAAACAAACTAACGATTCCAAAAGGACGACTATTTCTCCCTAGAAGCCACAAACCCAACGCCATGAAACCAATTAACCTTTTTGTAATGAATCGAAATTTTTATTTCCAAACTGTTCTTTATAAACGTTTTTCGACAGCATTTGTAAATTGTTCTAACTGTGGTTCGTTGTAAGTGAAAACTTTTTAGGAAACTTTGTGTTATTTCAATGGAAATGAAAAAATAAACTTTTCTATTTTTTTTTTTTTTTTTGAGGAAGAAAAATACAATTTTACTAAAATATGAAAATTTTTTAAAAATGTTTTTTTTTTCAACACAAAGCCTTAGCAGAAGTTTTCGAATTCCTTAAAAAAATAACTAACTTGACGACTACTGAATTTATTTGTCTACGCCTAAAAGTATGCTTATGACTCTTGCTTCGAATGCTCGTCCATTAGTTGTGAGTTAACATATTTGCTCAACTCAGCTCCGTCATCGTCACTTCTATCACTGGGTGTTGTTGTTTTACGATTTTCCTCATCCATACTCTCCTTTAGACTCTGGATATCCAAGCCACCGCCCACACCACGACCATCACTGCTGATACCCTCTTCATCACTGCCCTGTTTATTGTACTTGGAGAAATAGGTGAGTGATTTCATCAGTTGATAACTTTTCGAAATGGGAATATTCGAATCGTAGACACTCTTCGAGGAGGCACAATCCACATAGAACCACCAATTACATTTCAGAATCGTTTGGTCGAATAAGGTGTTCTCTGGGCAGAGGAAGGATTTGCGAACCATGCCATCATCGGTCAGGGCACAGACGTGGAAGACCTGGAAAAAAGGAAAGGAAATGTTATAACAATGGGATTTTTTAAAACAAATTAACGTGGATTTTTTAAAAAAAAATATTTTTTAAAGAGATTAACAAACGTAGATTTAAAAAAAATATTTTTGGAAAAGATTTACAAACCGGGATTTTTTAAAAAATATTTTTTGAAAGGATCAACAAATATGGATTTTTTAAAAAATATTTTTTGAAAGGATCGACAAATGTGGATTTTTTAAAAAATATTTTTTGAAAGGATCAACAAATGTGGATTTTTAAAAAAAAAAAATTTTTTAAGAGATTAGCAAACGTAGTTTTTAAAAAGATATATATTTTTTGAAGATATTAACAAACCTAGATTTTAAAAAAAATATTTTTGAAAGAACCAACGAACGTGGATTTTTTAAAAAAATATTTTTTGAAGAGATTAACAAACGTAGATTTTTAAAAAAATATATTTTTTTTGAAGATATTAACAAACGTGGATTTTTTAAAAGAAGAGATTAACAAAAGTGGATTTTTTAAAAAATATTTTTTTAAGAGATTAACAAATGTGGATTTTTAAAAAAATATTTTTGAAAAATATTAACCAACGTGGATTTTTTAAAAATATTTTTTAAAAATATTAACCAACGTGGATTTTTAAAAAATTAATTTATAAAAATATTAACCAACGTGGATTGTTAAAAAAATAATTTTTAAAAATATTAACCAACGTGGATTTTTAAAAAATTAATTTATAAAAATATTAACCAACGTGGATTTTTAAAAAATTAATTTATAAAAATATTAACCAACGTGGATTTAAAAAAAATAATAATTTTTAAAAATATTAACACACGTTAGATTTAAAAAAATATTTTTGAAAATATTAACCAACGTGGATTTAAAAAAAATAATAATTTTTAAAAATATTAACACACGTTAGATTTAAAAAAAATATTTTTGAAAATATTAACCAACGTGAATTAAAAAACAATTTTTGTAAATATTAATCAACGTGGATTTTTTAAAAAATATTTTTTGTAAATATTAATCAACGTGGATTTTTTAAAAAATAGTTTTTGTAAATATTAATCAACGTGGATTTTTTAAAAAATAGTTTTTGTAAATATTAATCAACGTGGATTTTATAAAAAATAGTTTTTGTAAATATTAATCAACGTGGATTTTTTAAAAAATATTTTTTGTAAATATTAATCAACGTGGATTTTTTAAAAAACATTTTTTGTAAATATTAATCAAGTAGGATTTTTTAAAAAATAGTTTTTGTAAATATTAATCAACGTGGATTTTTTAAAAAATAGTTTTTGTAAATATTAATCAACGTGGATTTTTTAAAAAATAGTTTTTGTAAATATTAATCAACGTGGATTTTTTAAAAAATAGTTTTTGTAAATATTAATTAACGTGGATTTTTTAAAAAATATTTTTTTAAATATTAATCAACGTGGATTTTTTTAAAAAAATATTTTTTGAAGAGATTAACAAACGTGGATTTTTTAAAAAAATATTTTTTTAAATATTAATCTTCGTGGATTTTTTAAAAAATATTTTTTGTAAATATTAATCAACGTGGATTTTTTAAAAAATATTTTTTTATATTATTAATCAACGTGGATTTTTTAAAAAATATTTTTTTATATTATTAATCATCGTGGATTTTTTAAAAAATATTTTTTTATATTATTAATCAACGTGGATTTTTTAAAAAATATTTTTTTATATTATTAATCAACGTGGATTTTTTAAAAAATATTTTTTTATATTATTAATCATCGTGGATTTTTTAAAAAATATTTTTTTATATTATTAATCAACGTGGATTTTTTAAAAAATATTTTTTTATATTATTAATCAACGTGGATTTTTTAAAAAATATTTTTTTATATTATTAATCAACGTGGATTTATAAAAATAAATTTTAAATATTAATCAACGTGGATTTTTTAAAAAACATTTTTTGTAAATATTAATCAACGTGGATTTTTTAAAAAATAGTTTTTGTAAATATTAATTAACGTGGATTTTTTAAAAAATAGTTTTTGTAAATATTAATTAACGTGGATTTTTTAAAAAATAGTTTTTGTAAATATTAATTAACGTGGATTTTTTAAAAAATATTTTTTTAAATATTAATCAACGTGGATTTTTTAAAAAATATTTTTTGTAAATATTAATCAACGTGGATTTTTTAAAAAATAGTTTTTGTAAATATTAATCAACGTGGATTTTTTAAAAAAAAGTTTTTGTAAATATTAATCAACGTGGATTTTATAAAAAATAGTTTTTGTAAATATTAATTAACGTGGATTTTTTAAAAAATATTTTTTGTAAATATTAATCAACGTGGATTTTTTAAAAAACATTTTTTGTAAATATTAATCAAGTAGGATTTTTTAAAAAATAGTTTTTGTAAATATTAATCAACGTGGATTTTTTAAAAAATAGTTTTTGTAAATATTAATCAACGTGGATTTTTTAAAAAATAGTTTTTGTAAATATTAATCAACGTGGATTTTTTAAAAAATAGTTTTTGTAAATATTAATTAACGTGGATTTTTTAAAAAATATTTTTGTAAATATTAATCAACGTGGATTTTTTAAAAAATAGTTTTTGTAAATATTAATTAACGTGGATTTTTTAAAAAAATATTTTTTTAAATATTAATCTTCGTGGATTTTTTAAAAAATATTTTTTGTAAATATTAATCAACGTGGATTTTTTAAAAAATATTTTTTTATATTATTAATCAACGTGGATTTTTTAAAAAATATTTTTTTATATTATTAATCATCGTGGATTTTTTAAAAAATATTTTTTTATATTATTAATCAACGTGGATTTTTTAAAAAATATTTTTTTATATTATTAATCAACGTGGATTTTTTAAAAAATATTTTTTTATATTATTAATCATCGTGGATTTTTTAAAAAATATTTTTTTATATTATTAATCAACGTGGATTTTTTAAAAAATATTTTTTTATATTATTAATCAACGTGGATTTTTTAAAAAATATTTTTTTATATTATTAATCATCGTGGATTTTTTAAAAAATATTTTTTTATATTATTAATCAACGTGGATTTTTTAAAAAATATTTTTTTATATTATTAATCAACGTGGATTTTTTAAAAAATATTTTTTTATATTATTAATCAACGTGGATTTATAAAAATAAATTTTAAATATTAATCAACGTGGATTTTTTAAAAAACATTTTTTGTAAATATTAATCAACGTGGATTTTTTAAAAAATAGTTTTTGTAAATATTAATTAACGTGGATTTTTTAAAAAATAGTTTTTGTAAATATTAATTAACGTGGATTTTTTAAAAAATAGTTTTTGTAAATATTAATTAACGTGGATTTTTTAAAAAATATTTTTTTAAATATTAATCAACGTGGATTTTTTTTTTAAAAATATTTTTTTAAATATTAATCAACGTGGATTTTTTTTTTAAAAATATTTTTTTAAATATTAATCAACGTGGATTTTTTTTAAAAAATATTTTTTGAAGAGATTAACAAACGTGGATTTTTTAAAAAATATTTTTTTAAATATTAATCAACGTGGATTTTTTTTAAAAAATATTTTTTTAAATATTAATCAACGTGGATTTTTTTTTAAAAAATATTTTTTTAAATATTAATCAACGTGGATTTTTTTTAAAAAATATTTTTGGAGAGGATTAACCAACGTGGGTTTAATTATTTTTGTATGAATGAGATTTTTAAAAAAAAAATATTTTTCCCAAAAAATATCAAACGGGGAAATACCCACCATACACCCCAAGTCCGTATCGGCATACAGGCCAGGGAAATGCTTCTGTTTGGCACACGAAAACGATGTGGGAGGTAGGTCCACTTTGGACTTGAAATTGTCATCGAAATTTTTATCATAACCCACAGGATAGTATTCCTTGGGGGCATTCATGACCTAGGAAACAAAAAAAGAAAAAAAAAAACATGATTTTTTTTCTCTTCTCCCTTTTGGGGGTCTTCTCCTACCTTGGATTTTTTACTTTCCGCTTGAACAAAATTGCTCTCCTCGACAAAGTGGGGTTGAGGCCTAGGCGTCGTCGTTGAGGTAGTAGTTGTGGTTGTCGTGGTGCTGGTCGTAGAACTTGTCGAGGTGGATGTTCTCATAAATTCCTCCCTTAACTTAGCCGCCAACATGGCTCGATGTTCGGCCTTTAGTTGTTGTTCCCTGACATAGATGGCATGTTTGATGGTGTCCACACTGACATTGGCCGCCTTGGCCAGTTCCTCCACTGTGATGTCCTTCATATCGAATTTGGGTTCCTCAAATTGCAGATAATTTGGATGGTTAACAGAGGCGGCGGCTGTGGCAACTGAGGGTGTGGGAGTCTTGAGGACAGACGTTATTTTATTCACCGAACTTGGCATTGCCTGGAAGGCTGGCACAGTCATGGGTTTGGATATCATCACCGCATTGTGGGGATGGAAAGTGCGATTGTTGTTCAATTGCTGGGTGTATGTGTCCACCAGTTTGTTGTTGACACTCATTCGGGAATTGGGGGTATCGACGGCTACACTTTGGGACCGACGTTCAGCCAATTGATTTTGTTGATGCGGCGTAAAGGACACGGCCGGTAGCTGTTTTTGAGGTATGGGTTTAAAGGCGGGAACACCCAACGGCAGAGGTCTGGCCTCGGTCATGAGGGGTTTTTGTTGTGCTCTCTTCGCCGCCAATTCTCGAAGAGCTGCCTGTTGCGCTCGCAACTCCGCTTGGCGTTTTTGTTGTACCAACATTTCATTCAGCGCCTGTTGCCTGGCCAGATTATCGGCTCCGGCATTTTTACGGGCCATGAGTTCGGCAGCTGCCGCTGCTTTAGCCTGCTTCTGCAGAGATTCTTTTAGTTCGGGACTAAGGACCATGGGTGAACGGGACTGGATGCGTTTATCCATCAAGGATTGGGCAGAGGGCTGTAAGGAAAAGAAATGGAGAAATTATAAAAATATAAATTAAAAAAAATTATATATTTTCAAAGGTCTGAAAAACGTAGATTTTTTAAAAAAATATTTTTTGAAAAGTTTCACCAACGACGACTTTTTTTTAAAAAATTTCAAAAGCGTGGAATTTTTAAAAAATATCTTTTGAAGAAACTTACAAACGTGGACGTTTTAAAACTATTTTTTGAAGAACCAATGAGGATTTTTTAAGAAAATATTTTTCGAAAACTTTAACTAACGTGGATTTTCAAAAAAAATATTTTTTGAAAAAATAACCAAAGTGGATTTTTATTTTTTTTTTTAAATTAACCAACGTGGATTTTTAAAAAAATATTTTTTTAAGAAATTAACCAACGTGGATTTTTAAAAAAAATATTTTTTTAAGAAAATAACCAACGTAAATTTTTTAATAAATATTTTTTAAAGAATTTAACCAACGTGGATTTTTTTAAAAATATTTTTTGAAGAAATTAATCAACGTGGATTTTTTAAAAAATATTTTTTGAAGAAATTAATCAACGTGGATTTTTTAAAAAATATTTTTTTTGAAGAAATTAATCAACGTGGATTTTTTAAAAAATATTTTTTGAAGAAATTAATCAACGTGGATTTTTTAAAAAATATTTTTTTTGAAGAAATTAATCAACGTGGATTTTTTAAAAAATATTTTTTTGAAGAAATTAATCAACGTGGATTTTTTAAAAAAATAGTTTTTGAAGAAATTAATCAACGTGGATTTTTTAAAAAATAGTTTTTGAAGAAATTAATCAACGTGAATTTTTTAAAAAATATTTTTTGAAGAAATTAATCAACGTAGATTTTTTAAAAAATAGTTTTTGAAGAAATTAATCAACGTGGATTTTTTAAAAAAATAGTTTTTGAAGAAATTAATCAACGTGGATTTTTTAAAAAATAGTTTTTGAAGAAATTAATCAACGTGGATTTTTTAAAAAATATGAAGAAATTAGCCAACGTGGATTTTTTAAAAAATATTTTTTTAAGAAAATAACCAACGTAAATTTTTTAATAAATATTTTTTAAAGAATTTAACCAACGTGGATTTTTTTAAAAATATTTTTCAAAGAAATTAATCAACGTGAATTTTTTTAAAAATATTTTTTGAAGAAATTAATCAACGTGGATTTTTTAAAAAATATTTTTTGAAGAAATTAATCAACGTGGATTTTTTAAAAAATATTTTTTTTGAAGAAATTAATCAACGTGTATTTTTTAAAAAATAGTTTTTGAAGAAATTAATCAACGTGGATTTTTTAAAAAATAGTTTTCGAAGAAATTAATCAACGTGGATTTTTTAAAAAAAAAGTTTTTGAAGAAATTAATCAACGTGGATTTTTTAAAAAATATTTTTTTTGAAGAAATTAATCAACGTGGATTTTTTAAAAAATATTTTTTTGAAGAAATTAATCAACGTGAATTTTTTAAAAAATAGTTTTTGAAGAAATTAATCAATGTGGATTTTTTAAAAAATATTTTTTGAAGAAATTAATCAACGTGGATTTTTTAAAAAATCTTTTTTTGAAGAAATTAATCAACGTGGATTTTTTAAAAAATCTTTTTTTGAAGAAATTAACCAACGTGGATTTTTTAAAAAATATTTTTTTGAAGAAATTAACCAACGTGGATTTTTTAAAAAATAGTTTTTGAAGAAATTAACCAACGTGGATTTTTTAAAAAATATTTTTTTGAAGAAATTAACCAACGTGGATTTTTTAAAAAATAGTTTTTGAAGAAATTAACCAACGTGGATTTTTTAAAAAATAGTTTTTGAAGAAATTAACCAACGTGGATTTTTTAAAAAATATGAAGAAATTAGCCAACGTGGATTTTTTAAAAAATAGTTTTTGAAAAAATTAGCCAACGTGGATTTTTAAAAAAATAGTTTTTGAAAAAATTAACCAACGTGGATTTTTAAAAAAATAGTTTTTGAAAAAATTAGCCAACGTGGATTTTTAAAAAAATAGTTTTTGAAAAAATTAACCAACGTGGATTTTTAAAAAAATAGTTTTTGAAAAAATTAACCAACGTGGATTTTTAAAAAATAGTTTTTGAAAAAATTAACCAACGTGGATTTTTAAAAAAATAGTTTTTGAAAAAATTAACCAACGTGGATTTTTAAAAAAATAGTTTTTGAAAAAATTAACCAACGTGGATTTTTAAAAAAATAGTTTTTGAAAAAATTAACCAACGTGGATTTTTAAAAAAATAGTTTTTGAAAAAATTAACCAACGTGGATTTTTAAAAAAATAGTTTTTGAAAAAATTAACCAACGTGGATTTTTAAAAAAATAGTTTTTGAAAAAATTAACCAACGTGGATTTTTAAAAAAATAGTTTTTGAAAAAATTAACCAACGTGGATTTTTAAAAAATTGTTTTTGAAAAAATTAACCAACGTGGATTTTTAAAAAAATAGTTTTTGAAAAAATTAACCAACGTGGATTTTTAAAAAAATAGTTTTTGAAAAAATTAACCAACGTGGATTTTTAAAAAAATATTTTTTTATGAAATTAACCAACTTGGACTTATCCAAACTTATTCTAAAATTTGATGCTATTTCCAAGATTTTTTGCTTTCATTCAATAAAACTTAAAAAAATGATGTAAAAATTATGGCGTTTTACTTTTTTCCAATATTTTTTTTTATCTCATCCTGTAGTTCCAAATTCTTTTCAAAACTGTTTTCAATACTCTTCCATTCATGTCTCACCTGTTGATTGGCTGGCAAAACGCCAACGGCATTTGGTGGTGGTCCATTCTTGTAGCCAATTGAACGGCGGCGACCTCCTTCCACATTGCCCAAGGATTCGGGGAAACCTAGTTCATCGCCCAGACTGAAACCTGAAGAAAAATAAAAACAAAAAATAACATTAATAATAGCTTTAAATCACCAGATGAAAAAATCACCAATTTAAATAATTGACGAACGTGAGAAACTCATTCAGCTGTAGATTTCAGTTTCACACTTGATTTTTTTTTTTCAAATAACTAATATTTGTTTCCGCATATTCAAATTTGTGGACCCAATCATCGTCGACATCATCATTATCGCCATCAATCATCCGTGTCAATCATCGTGCAAAATCAATACAAAATTTGCAATTAAAGTCAATGGGCATGTGGAGCTGACCTGCCCCCATCCATCGATGATTATGGGCCATTTAATTTTGAGCTCCCTCTTCCCATGACATCGACGATGATTATTGTCCATTTAATTTTCGTTGTATTTCAATTTGATTTGGTGGGTATTATAAAGATGTCATAGATAATGACAGGTTAAGGTTTGGGTATGGTTTTTCAAAACAAAAAAAAAAAATTGGAAATAAGAAAATGTAGGCCTAAGGTATTCTTTCCATAGAAGATTTAGAGAAATTGTTTGCATAGAAGACGTTGAGAATTTTTACTAGAAGACACAGGGACCTATTCATCTATCAATAAAACCTAAATTTTTTGATCAATATAGTTAAGGAAATATTTTTTTTAAATGTCAAGAAATTAAAAAAAAAGATTTTATAAAAAAATAACGTATGTAAAAAATTTATTAAAATTATTTTTTTTTTTGAGAACAAATTAGCCAAATTGAATTGTTTAAAAATTATTATTTGAAAAAACCCAACGTAGATTTTGTAAAAAATATTTTTTGAAGATATTAACCAACGTGGTTTTTTTAAAAAATATTTTTTGAAGAAATTAACCAACCTGTAATTCTTTAAAAATATTTTTTGAAAACACTAACCTACGAGGATTTTTTAAAAATTATTGTTTGATGTTGTTTGACGCCGATTTTGAAAAAAAAAAAATTGAAGATATCAACCATTTTTCAAAAAATATTTTTTGAAACATTTTTGGCAAAGTGGATTTAAAAAAATATTTTTGAAGATAATAAACAAAGTGGAATTTAAAAAAATATTTTGTTAAACATTTCACCAATTAATATTTAAAAAAATATATTTTTTTTGAAAAAACGCCAACGTGGAATTTTTGAAAAATATTTTTTTAAATATTTCACCAAGTAATATTTAAAAAAATATTCTTTGAGAAAATACCAAAGTGGAATTTTTAAAAAATATTTTTTAAAACATTTCATCAACGTCGAATTTTTAAAAAAATATTTTTGAAAACATTTCATCAACGAGGAATTTTTAAAAAATATTTTTTGAAAAAATACCATCGTGGAATTATTAAAAAATATTTTTGAAACATTTCACCATTGTGGAATTTTTAAAAACTATTTTTTAAAACATTTCACCAACGTGGAATTTTTAATAAATATTTTTTTAAAAAAATTGGGCAAAACTGATTATTTTAAAAACTATTTTTTAAACAGTTTCACCAACGTGGAATTTTTAATACATATTTTTTTAAAAATTGGACCAACCTGAATTTTTTAAAACGTGAAATTTTTAATAAATATTTTTTTTTAAAATTGAACCAAACTGAATTTTTTAAAAATTATTTTTTAAAACATTGCACCAACGTGGATTTTTTGAAATATTTTATTGGCGTGGAATTTGTAAAAAAGTATTTTTTAAGTTTTTAAACAACAAGGAATTTAAAAAAAAAATATTTCTTGAAATATTTCACCAAGGTTGAACATATAAAAAAATATTTTTTGTTAAAAAAAAAACCAACATAGAATTAAAAAATATATATTTTTTGAAAATATTAACCAACTAAAAGTTTAAAAAAATATTTATTTATTATTTATTGAAATTTTTCATCAACCTGAATTTAAAAAAAAATATATATTTTTTGAAAAAAAATCAAACATGGAATTTTTAAAAAATATTGTTTTGAAAAAAAACTAAACCAACGTGGATTTTGAAAAAAATATTTTTTGAAGAGATTAACCAACGTGGGATTTAAAAAAATATATACTTTTTTTGAAAAAATCATTTAATTTTAAAAAATGTGTGTTTGAAAAAATTAATTAAATATTTAAAAATATGTTTCGAAAAAAATCACCAACGTTGAATTTTTAAAAAAAATATTTGTTGAAGATATTAAAAAACGTGGAATTTAAAAAAAAAGATATAAAGCAAGCGGGATTTAAAAAAAAAATATTTTTTGAAGGAATTAACCAATGTGGCTTTTAAAAACTGATTTCTTGAAGGAATCAACCATTGTGCTATTTTAAATATATATATATATATATTTTTTTTTTCTTTGAAAAATTTAGCTAACCAGAATTTTTTAAAAAATATTTTTATGGGGTTTTGCCAACGTGTTTTTTAAATATTTTTTGAAAAAATTCACCATCGTGGAATATAAAAAAATATTTTTTGAAGATATTAGCCAACGTGGATTTTTATGGAAGAAATTAACCAACGTGGTTATTAAAAAAAATATTTTTTTAAGAATTAAAAACGATTAAAAAATTTTTCGTTGATCAAACTTTTCAGAAATATGTTTTTTTTTTTTTTATATCCGCATCGAAAAAAAGATATTTATGTATTATATGAAAAAGGATGATCGCTAGGTCTCATGTGAAAATAAGCTTTCCAGGTTTTCTTTGGAGAGAGGTTTTTTTAGAGAACATTATTTTATATCAAGAGGACCTCCTTGTTTTCTATGGGAAAATACCTGATGGTCTTATATTTAAAGAAGACTACTAGATGTTTTATGGAAAGCATAACTCCAGGTATTTTATGGAAAAGAAACCTTTAGGTCTTGGAGATAAAAAAAAAACCTTCTTATATGGACTATGTGTCTTTTAATGAATCAAATGTTTACAATTTTTTAAAAATTGTTCATTGTCAAAATTGATATTAGTTAATCCATCAGATCAGAGATGGAAACCTGTTTTCTATGCAGGTTAAATTTGACACAGTAAAATACAGAAAATGGAGAAATGTATTTGAAATGACTACCTTCTTAATTTCAACATGGGTCTTCCAGACTTCTAGGGTTCTTTCTTTTTTTAAGTCTATTTTACATTTTTTTTATATTTTACAAATATGTATAAGTTTTACTTTTTACATGATAAAAAAATTTCAAATATTTACAATCGTGTGTTTGTTAGTATATAAACAATTGTTTGATTATAACTATTTGTTAATTTTATTTTACTGTAGGGTATAAAAAATAATTATAGTATTACCTAAACCAAAGTGCGCCTTAAGGCCGCCCAAATTTCTGACCCGAAATAGTCCAGATTTTTTGAAATTACAATTGAGTATAAAACCAAAATCGGATTCTAAAACACATGTCCCGCAAGCCAATCCTAAAAATAAATACAAAAAATAAATGAGAAGAGAAAAGAGGGAAGAGAAAACAAACACAGAAAAATTAGCAAAAAAAGAGGAATTGGAAAAAAAAAATATATATACAAAAAATAAAAATTTTACAAGGGATGGGAGGGTGTGAGTGGTGACAAAATGAGGTGTGGAGGTGAAATGTGTGTTATTTTTCAATGTGCAAACTAGAGTTGTGTCAATCTAGTTCGGTCGAACTCCTTTTCTATGAAACTCGGCGTATGAGTGATATGAAATATATGCAATTTATGAAATCATTAATACATTTAGGAACTGGGCCTCAATTCTTGTTCTATGAAAATGTGAAATGAAAACTTTTATAAAGGAAAGAATTGACAAATGGAAAATTTTATAAAGATAATATTTTTCATTTCATATTTTCATAGAACAAGAATCCAGCCCCTGGTGTGCTGAACTATGAACAAGATTGACACAACTCTAGTAACGACTCTGAGGTGATTTATGGAATTAATTTTTTCTGTGTTTTGTTTTCTATTGTACATTATTACACATTTACACATTTACAATTCTTAACGCCAATTTACACATAATATTAGAGTTATGTGTAAGTTGTTTTCTTCATTTTTATACCCTACAACACTATGTGTTGGGGGTATTATAAGTTTGATTGGCCCAAAAATTATGTAACACCTCGAAATATTGGTTTCCCACATAGGAAAGTATATATGGATCTTCCTAGCTCGCCGAGCTGAGTCGATCTAGCTATGTATGTCCGTCCGTCCGTCTGTCCGTCTGTCCGTCTGTCCATGTTAATTTGTAATCACTCTACAGGTCGCAATTATGGCCCGATCTTCACGAAATTTAGAATGGAGGTGGGGTTAATGTCAGAATAGAACCCTATTTCTTTTGGAGATGATCGCCAAATGTTTAGGGGTTGAAATGGACCAAATACTGAAAAAATGTCGGATTTTGCTGTAGCCATACAGGTCGCAATTATAGACCAATCGACGCGGAATTTCGCATGTAGCTAGAGTTTAGGGCGGGGAAGAAGCCTACCAATTTGGGTGGTCATCGGATAATATTTAGCGGGTAAAATAGACCATATCTTTTGTGTTGAAAAAATTCAAAATTTTTCATTAAACCGCGAATATTTTAAATCATGTCAAAATCACAAAGCCATGACAAGGTTACTTCTGATCTTTACATTGATGTTAACATCCAACAAAACGGATATATAGCAAAATATGTGCGATATATATGTTTATCAAAGAAGATAGGCTTGAAAAATCTCTTATATGTCGAGAACGGCTGAACTGATTTCGACAGTTCTCATTAATTCAGAATGGCCTCTTGGCAGGAAAGAAGAAACGTCCAAAAAATCGCATGAACATATCTCCCTAAAGATGAAAATATTGATTTTGTAAAATTTTCTCATATTTTTTCAATTTTGTCATATTTTTGGCATATTTTTATTTTGAATTAAACATTTGGTAATATTTCTACAGCTAACAAAACTAAGTTGTTAGGATATCAGGATATCATATACAGATCGCATTTATGGCCCGATCCTTACGAAATTTTGCATGGAGATAAGATGAGGGTCAGAATAGAAGCCTACTCTTTTTGGAGATGATCGCCATATATTTAGGGGTTGAAATGGACCAAAAAACTGCAAAATTGTCTGCAGGTCGTAATTATCGCCCGATCCTCACGCACATTTGAATGGGGGTTACCGGACATTACAAAAGCCAAGCAGTTTTGGATGGCCATCCAAAAATATTCAATGTGTGAAATAGATTGCCAACTTTTGTAGACAAAATATGAAAATGTCCATTCCGGTGACTTTTTGGAGAATTCACAAATACAAGAAAGACGCACTTCTGACTATTTCGTTAACGCTGATTTCGTTGAAGAATATCTGTATCTCATATAGATGCGTTTCAGTCAAAAACCAATAATAAATGTTAATCTTTTGCCACTTCTGAGAGGTTATAGGTCTTTGGGAAATATTGGTTCCAGATCTAGGAAGACCATTTAAGTGCAACATCTACCAATAAATTGGAAATGAGCAAATTAGAAAACGAAACCTGATGGTTTTCTGTTAATTATTTGTCACAATATCTTGTGGAATTCTTTCCAGTATTTCGCCTATATAAACTGTATCGTTTATTATAGTGTTGTAGGGTATTCAACGGTCGGCCCCGCTCGACTGTAGCCTTTGCTTACTTGTTTCTATTTAGCATAGACCTAATTGACATTCTTTTACACGTTTTCAAAACATTTTTAAAACTTTAAAGAAATCCTAGTCATTTTACATCTTTGTTTTTTAATTTTATTGAATGAAATCAAAAACGTAGGAGATAGCATCAAATTTTAGAATAAGTTTAGATTTGTTCGAATTGGTCACCTTTGGCACGAATTGTGGCCTTCAAACGGCCAATGCAACCGTCACACTCTGTCCGAATGTTGCTCTGTGGTATTTTGGTCCATACCCGGCGAAGCGCTTGCTTGAGGTGATCGACAATTTGGTATTTTTTAGTGCCAACCTTGCTTTCCAAAATACTCCAGACAAAATAGTCCAACGGATTGTTATCCGGAGATTTTGGTGGCCATTGTGCACTGGAAATGAAGCGAGGAAATGCTGAGTGTGATGGTGCTGAGTCCTGTCGGAATGTCCAAGGCCTGCGGCAAAATGTGCGGAGAGCGACCATCGGCTGTTATGGCGGCCCACACCATCACCAGGGCCGGCGCTTGAGTTCTGGTGGCCAACCGAAGGTGCACATTTTCAGCTGACCTCTGTGGCAAGTAAACACGATCATCACATCACAGAAATCACACTATCATTCTTGAATTCCACCACGAATAACTTTTTTCCTGGAAAAAAATGTTTTTGTACGCTAGTAAACAATTTAATGAGCTGTCACTGGAATAATTTTAATAGCTTTCGGACGAGTGGTTTAAAAGTGACAGCAGTCTGAAGTAGGTTTCAGTTTTTTCATCTCACTCTGTGTCTTCCACCAATTTGAGGTTAATTGTACACCAATTGACCAATATCAGCCCAAATGAACTGAATCTTGGCAATTCCGACTGATATATATCTGAACCAATTTTCACCAAATTTTCTAGGATGAATTCAGTCGGAATTGCCAAGATTCAGTTCATTATATATATATATATATATATATATGTATATATATATATATATATATATATATATATATATATATATATATATATATATATATATATATATATGTAAATATATATATATATATATGTATATATATATATATATATATATATATACATATCTCATATAAAGTGAAGGAAGTAGTCGACATAGTCCAAAGTTGGTACGTCGCAATATTTATATGATATTTATTTAGGTCCGATACGAAATGATCAATATTGGCCCATTTCTTTGGAACATACTCCATGGAGGGTCAACAATTTGAATAATCATAACAGAAGTCAAAATATATTTAAATATTAGAAAATTGACTGAGGGTACACATCTGTCGGCAAAACCGACTGATACTTATTATTTTTCATTTTAATATTTTTTCCCACGATTCCAAAACATCCCTCCTCTCTTGGCCTGAATAAATTTTCTCTCTGAAAAATAACAACCTTATAAATTACATGACTAGTTAATTATTTGTTATGATTTTCATTATTTTTTTTTTCTTTTTGTTGCAAATTTCTGTAATAATAAAAATAATTTCTTCATTTCACCCCGAATAATATTTTATGACAACACACTTATATAACATCCTCTGTAAATAATTATATGTCAAATACAAAAATCTTAACATTCATTTGTCACATTTTATAGCATTTCTTCTTCTTCTTCTTCTTCTTCTTCTGCTACCGCAAAATTCCCACCAAAATGTTAATTAACATTGTGGCATGTTAGCAGACTTCGAATGATAATACCCATTACAGTCATGGCACTTCATTAGTGACAAAACAAAAGACTTAAGACACGAACTTGTCCCAATCAACTACTCGACAGAGACATGCGATGCCTGGCAACTAAACTAGGCCCAACAAATAATTTACAAACTTGAAAAACACACAAAATATTTAAAAATGCATTTGATTATATAACACAAGACAAGAGTTGGCACAATAACAACAGCAGCAACAACAACAGCAAGAATGATAATAAAACTAAAAAAAACAATCACCAATTATAACAAGTCAAGGAAATCTTCTTCTTTTTGGTTGACTTGAATTGATTTTATTTAATACGATTAATTAAATACCAAAATGTGATTTTTGGTCAGAAATGTATTAACAAAATACATAAATATCAGTTTGTCTAAAAATGTGGTAAAATGTTGAGAAATGTATTGTAAATACAGTGGTAACTCGTTGGTTTTGGCAAGCTATGGGGTCCGATGATTTTCTTCGAAGGAAATGGTTTTAAAGTGGCTTTTAAGTTTTAGAAGGTCTTTGATGCCGGAATTATTGTTGTCTTCAAATTATCGTGGTTTGAGTAGTCACAACTCTAACAGAAGATTATCGGCGATAGCTGGAAAGTTCGGGGTTATTAATTAATTATAATTGGAATTGTTTATATCAATTAAAAATATGGATTTTTTCAATTTTTTAGTATCTACAAAAGAGAGGTTTTACTGTCATTGAAAAATAATAAAATAATATTATGCGGGAGTTTTCAAAAATATTATTTACACAAATCATTAAAGTCAAAATAAAAAAACGGATTTTTTTTTTTTTTGAATCCGAAAAAAGCTGTTCATTTTGGCCGGATATTACATATATGGTGAACAATAACCATAAAATCGGATGAAGATGTATATCGAAGGTATATTTAAGAATCTGAACCGATCTCGATAAAATCTGGCAAATATCCTCAACAGATCTTGTGTTGGTGGAAATATTGGGATGTATGAAATTTGAAGAGAACCGCGTGCTTATTTCGAATTTTATAATCGTTTTAATTTTTCAAAAATTTGACCCTTTGTGGGGGAGGTACCAGAAG